ATGGGTTAAGCACTCAAGAACATCTGCACAGCCCCAAGAAACAACAAAATAACGTTGAGGGCAGAAATCAGTGAAACAAGTAACAATGGTTAGAGTAAAAAAGAAAACCAGCAATCACTTGATAAGACTAATACAATCAATCGCTTGGTTCTTTGAAAAGGTATAAAAGATATATAGACCTCTGTCAAGAAAGGTCAAGAAAAATGCAAATAAGCAGAAAGCAAATAAAAGACTACAGAATGAAAAACAAAGAAGCAGCTACAGACTAAACAAATTGTAAAAACTATATTTAGTAGATACATGTTAATAAATTTCAATTCTTAGGTGAGATTATAATTTCTTAGGAAAATATAAAATACCAAAAATTGGCTCAAGAAGTTACAGAAAATAGCAAAGAACAGTAAGGAAATGAAAGACCACCTTTTCCAATAAAATAAAGTCTCAGATAGTTTTTCAATAAAGTCTCAGATAGTTTTTCAATAAAGGAACCGTTGTTAAAAAAATATGACAGAAAGAATAGAAGTTACTTCGTTGTTGTTGTTGTTGTTGTTGTTGTTGTTTTGAGAGTGGCATACTCTTGTTCCCAAACCAAATAAGGACAATAAGAAGAAAAAGAAGTCAGTTAAAGACCCATGCCATTTTTTTTAGTCTAGATTTTAAAATCTTTACTAAAATAACATTTGACTGACTCTAATAGTGCATTAAAAACAACACGATTAAGAGAGATTTATTCTAGAAAGGTGTAGATGGTTCAACATCAGAAAATCTATTGTAATTGATTTGATGCGAAAAATCCTTTATCTCAACTGGAACATAAAAGCACTTGATGAGGTTGAGTATCTACTCATGGTGAAAACTCAGCGCTAACTAGGAATAGGAGAGAAAGTCCTTAACTCAGTAAAGCTTGTTTAACAAAACCTACAGCAAACATGAAACTTATTCGAGAAAAATCTAGATATGTTCTCCTTAAGATCGGGAATAAAACATGGAGGGCCACTCACACTGTTTGACAGAAAACTGAGAGTTCTGGACCAAAGAAAAAGGAGTTCTGGAAGAAAGAAAAAGGAGGATGTTGCATTTGTATTTGAGGAAAAAAGTATACACTGTTGCTATCTGCCCCTTATAATGATCATATATTTGGAAAAGCCAATAGAATGAGCAAACACATTCTTCACTTCTTTATAACTGAGTCTCAGTTTTGTTTGGGATGGCAGTGTGCTCAGTTGAAAACATCTACCCTGGCTGGACACGGTGGCTCACACCTGTCATCCTAGCACTTTGGGAGGCAGAGGCGAGAGGATTGCCTGAACCCAGGAGTTGGATACCAGCCTGGGCATCTTGGTGAGACCTCGTCTCTACAATAAAAAAATTTAGTGGTGTGCACCTATAGTTTCAGCTGCTTGGAAGGCTGAAGTGGAAGGATCGTGTCACTGCACTCCAGCCTGGGCAATAGAATGAGACTGACTTAAAAAAAAAAAAGATATTCTTGTAATTAGAGATGGCCAGAAATAACCAAATCTGGGCAATGAGCTCTGTGCAGAAATCATGGGAATTTTTATTTATTTTATTTTATTTTATTTTGAGTTGGAGTCTCACTCCATCACCCAGATTGGAGTGCAGTGGCATGCTCGAGGCCACCGCAGCCTCGACCCGCTGGAGCTCTGTCAATTCTTCTGCCTCAGCCTTCCAAGTCACCGGAACTACAAGCATGCACTACCACGCCTGGCTGGTTTTTGATTTATTGTAGAGATGAGATCTTACCAAATTGCCCGAGCAGGTCTCAAACCCGTGGCCTCAGGCAATCCACTTACCTTGGGCTCCCAAAGTACTGGGATATGGGCTAAACCACTGAGCCTGGCCAATCATGGGAATTTTACGTTCTTCAAGCTGTCTACTTTTTTTTGTTTATTTTTTTTGAGAAAGGGTCCCCTCAGTTACCCAGGCTGGAGTGCAGTGGCATGATCACAGCTCACCATAGTCTCAACTCCTGTGCTTAGGCGATCTCTATGCCTCAGCCTCCCAAGTAGCTGGGACTACAGGCACACACTACCACACCCAGCTAATTTTTTCCTTTTTTATGGAGATGGGGTCTTGCTATGTTGCCCAGGCTGGTCTCAAACTCCTGGGTTCATGCAATCTTCCCACCTTGGCCTCCCAAAGTCCTGGGATTACGGGCATGAGCCACCATGCCCAGCCCTTGTCTACTTTTTCAGGCAGAATATCCCAGACACACTCTCTAAATTTGGCAAAGATGTGCCATATGACATATGGTTTCATGAGATGCAATGACAGAAATATACAGTGATATGGATTTCTTCATGTACGGCCTTCAGTGGTGACACCCCCCGTGCCTGTCTTTTCTTTCCCAGGTAGGAGCTCTCGCCTTTTTTACACACGCCCTTAGCTCCAGAGACAGGGCAACTTGAACATTCGTGATCAAAAGTCCCCAAGGGCAGAAACTTACTCTGCCTTTCCCACGACGATGTCCCTGGTGCCTGAATCGCTGCGGTAGGCCCGTGGGGGTAACCGCTCAGTGGTTACCAGTGGAGACAGCACACCATCTGGGCTTCTGTGAGCCGCACACCAGCGGGCCTAGCGGCAGCACGGACTAAAACATCCGGTCTCCTCCCCCAGCAGGGCGTCACCCTGGCCCGCCTGTGATGGCTCCATGCCAAAGCACGTCTGGTCACACCCAGGATCACCGATGCCAGAGGGCAGAGCACCTCAGGACCCCTGTCTGCTGTCTTCTCCACTGCAGGAGGCATCTTTCGGGTCCAGCTACTTCCCTCTCCCCCAGTCTCCACTGCAGGTGAACCCTATCCCAGCAGAGCAATTCAGAGACGAGGAAGAGGAAAATAATACGAGGGCCGAAATCGGTGAAATAAGTACCAACAGGAGCATCAGAGAACTGGACACCTCATCTCTGTCTTCTTTGCCAATTCTCTTTCCTTCCTTTCCTAATTATTCCCAGTCATTTAAAACAATTTGAGCAAGGATGGGGATTCTTTTATACACACCACATCTCCAGACAATTGGTAGTCAGAGTGCTGTACATGGACCTTCAGAAAAAGAGGCTGGGTGTGATGGCTCACACCTCACACCTGTAATCCCAACAATTTGGGAGGCCAGGGCAGGAGGATCCCTTGTCCCCAGGAGTTTGAGACCAGCCTGGGCAACATAGCAAGACCTCATCTCTTCAAAACAAAATTAAAAAAAAAAAAAAGTAGCCAGGAATCATGGCAGGCGCCTGTAGTCCCAGCTACTTAGAAGGCTGAGGCAGGATTGTCTGAGCCCAGGAGGTCAAGGCTTAGTGAGGAGTGATTGTGCCACCACACTCCAGCCTGGGCGACTCAAAAAAATCAACTAAAAATAAAGAAAATGGGGAATAGGGAAGGGGGCACACCTTATCAAGGGTACCTGCATAATGAACATTTGGGTACTTAACCCTGAATTGTACTCCACATCTTTAAAATGAAAAATTACAAAAGAAAAGAAAATGGGGAATAAATCATTTAGTGAAAGGACACGGTTTTAGGTGGAGTCTGGTCACGATGCCAATGCCAAGTGTTCTCCAAGGAGTTCAGTGGCATTAGCGTACTTGAGGTCACGTTCTCACAGTTGCTTTAAAGCCTACTTTAACTCAGCACCCTGCACAGATTTGAGTGTTCACAGCATTACCCAAGGGAAGTTGTTATGACAACTTTATAACCACCATATATACGTTATTACTAGGTTTAAAATAGTCTCTCCCTGAATTTTAAGCAAGTAATATTTAAGCCCAGCCAGAGATTTTGTTTCGCTTTTAAAAATAAATCTATAGCTGGGCTCAGTGGCTCAGCCTGTAATCCCACACTTTGGGAGGCTAAGGTGAGTGGATTGCCTGAGCCCGCGGGTTCAAGACCCGCCTGGGCAACTTGGCGAGACCTCATCTCAACAATAAATCAAAAATAAATCAAAAAATTAGCCAGGCGTGGTAGCGCGCGCCTGTAGTTCCAGCTACTTGGAAGGCTGAGGCGGAAGGATCGCCGGAGCCCAGCAGGTGAGGGTGCGGTGGCCGGGAGCGGCCACTGCACTCCAGTCTGGGCGACAGAGTAAGACTCCAGCTCAAAATTAAATAAATAAATAAATAAATAAATAAATCTATTAGCGTTATAGGTTTATTGAAGTTACAAATAGAATTCACCTGTGATTCCTTTAAATAGTAAACTTCTTCATTAGATTAATTTATCTATTTATTATTTAATTTCATTTTTTGAGTCGAAATCGCACTCTGTCGCCCATGGCTCCCCACAACCTCGACCTCCTGTTCTCCAGGGTTCAACCTTCTGTCTCAGCCTTCTGAGTAGCTGGGACTTAGGCATGGGTCATCAAAACCAGGTAATTTTTGAAAAAAATGTTTTGTAGATCTGAGGTCTTGCTATGTTACCCAGGTTAGTCTCGAACTCCTGACCTCAAGCAATCCTCCCACCTCGGCCTCCTAAAGTGCTGGGATTACAGGTGTGTGCCACCGTGCCTAGCCACCTTCATGTAATTTAAATGGTTACCAAATTTTCACATATATTTGAGGTAGACAGTTGGAATATAGCAGGAAATCTTTCAAAGTGTTAGGAACCATCACCAAATTTAAATGAGAATAAATTCCATTTATTAGAAATAAAGATAAAGCTTCTCAAAATATGATGACTAGGCTATAATATTCACTTTCTAGAACTGTGACTTAAGTCAGCCCCAACCTCCTGGGCTCAGGCGATCCTCCCACCTCAGCCTCCCGAGTAACTGGGACTGTTTGCACTATTCACCCGGCTAGTTTTTTTATTTTGTTGTAGAGACCATGCCTTGCTATGTTGCCCCGGCTGAAATCACTTTTTTTAAAAACAAGCATTCCTTTTCTGTGGAAACATCTGCTGTCAGAGTCTCACCTGCTGCTGTTGGGCCACAGTTCTCTGTTGCTTCCTGTTAAATTCCCAGTGTCATGTTTCACCCTAAATTCCACCTGACAGGTGCCCCCTGGACAGCAGCACGCCACCTCAGGACTTAACTCTCAGTCCCCCTGAAGACCTCAAGGAGCTGTCTCCTTGCGGCTGCTCCCAGGGAAGCTGTCAGTCCCCACCAGCTGCCAGCCGGGCTGTGGGCCAGCCATCCTGCACAGCCAGCACAAGGGAGCCCCAGGGACTTCCCGCTCACAGCCGCTCGCTGGGTGGACTCCCTTTCCAGTGCTCTGGGAACAGAAACGAGTTTTCCTCGAGAAGTGCCCTCCTCGCCTCCCCGTCCCTGGAGAAGAAGGAGTCGGAACTGCATCTGTACATCATTTCCACGACCTCGTCAATGTTTCTGCACTTAAAAAGCTCATGGAACAATTATCTGATAGTAAGTGTCCGCATATGCTGACTTTGACCTGAGCATCTTTTTGGCTGGGTGGGGAGCAAACATGCCTTCCCTGCTGTGTCTCCCATTTTGGGAACTCAGCCTTGGACTTTGCTAATACTGTGAAAGACGGAATGCACGGGACAACTGGGGTGATGTATCCATGTATCCAGGTGCTGCCTTAGGAAGCATGCTTGTGAGTGAGGGGTGTGTCCCAGAAGGGGCAGGCCGTGGGGTTTTGTGGAGGCAGGCCTCACGCGGAGGGGGTGCGAGCAGGTGGTCTCTCACAGCTGCCGGGGTGACACAGGCGCGGCGAAGTGCACGTCGTCAGGATGTTCTTGCATTTCTCAGCTATACTGTTGAAAGTGGGCTCACGGAGTCGTTGTTAGTGATTAGGGAATTTTATCCAGAGATCACCACTCTGTGTCCCTTATTTTGTAAATGAGGAAACAGAGAAAACTCTAACTTTAGGGCAGAGTTAGAATTCTCATTGAAAGATCTTTTTATTAGAATCAGTTTTAAAAATAAGTAATTTATTAAAAGAATAACATAATCCCTTTGCGTTATCTTCATAACGTATAATTTTTTTTATTAAAAAATTTTTTGGGCCAGGCTTGGTGGCTCAGCCTGTGATCCCAGCACTTTGGGAGGCCGAGGTGAGTGAATTGCCTGAGACTGTGGGTTTGAGATCAGCCCGGGCAATTTGGCAAGACTTTTTCTCTACAATAAGTTTTTTAAAAAATCAGCCAGGTGTGGTAGTGCATGCTTGTAGTTCTGGCTACTTGGAAGGTTGAGGTGGAAGGATCGCCTGAGCCCAGCAGGTTGAGGCTGTGGTGGCCGTGAGCATGCCCACTGCACTCTAGCCTAGGCGACAGAGTGAGACTCAGACTCAAAAAAATTTTTTTTTTTTTAAAATAGAGATAGGGTCTGACTATGTTGCCCAGGTGGGTTGTGAACTCCTGGCCTCAAGTTATCCTCCTGCCTTGGCCTCCTAAAGTGCTGGAATTATTGTCGTGAGCCACTGCACCTGTCCTTCATGCAGAAACTGATAACCAGAGCAGCAAATTAGGAATAGAACCCTATTGCTTTCAGTGTAATAATATTAATAATTATGAAAGGCTATTTTGCTCAGAAGAAACTAGAAAGCAAGGGTTTTATAAGTAGCTGAAAATCATCAAAATTACAAGATACTCTAGTATTTTTCTCATAGCACCGTTCAGAAAGCTTATAATGTTTAAAACTTCTTTCTAAATTTGTAAACTCTTTCTTCAAATTAAAAATGTAGACAAATTATAAATAAAGGAAAATCTTGGTCTATTACAAAAAGATTTCATGCTGGGCGTGGTGGCTCACACCTGTCATCCGAGCACTTTGGGAGGTGGAGATGAGAGAATGCCTGAGCCCAGGGGTTTGATACCAGCCTGGGAAACTTGGTGAGACCTCATCTCTATAGCAAATCAAGAAAAATTAGCTGGGTGTGGCGGCATGCACCTGTAGTTCTAGCTACTTGGAAGGCTGAGGCGGAAGTATCGCTAGAACCCAGCAAGTAGAGGCTGCGGTGACCGTGAGCGTGCACTACACTCCAACCTGGACAACAGAATGAGATTCCAACTCAAAAAAAAAAAAAAAAGATTTTATATATTCTAGTAGAAAAGACAAAACTGAATTGACTTTGAAAAATTTATGTAAGTGTTTCAAAATAACTGTTTATACTTCCCTGAATTGCTCAACTTCAAGCTTTAATGTTCCCTTTTATTTTTTAATTTTTTAGAGACAGGGTTTCACTGTCACCCAGGCTGGAGTGCAGTGGCACAATCATAGCTCACTGCAACTCAACTTCCTGGACTCAGGTGATCTTCCTGCCTCAGCCTCCCAAGTAGCTGGAACTACAGGCACCACACACCCAGCTAATTTTGTTATTTTTTTTTTCTTCATAGAGATGAAATCTTGTTATGTTGCCCAGACTGGTCTCAAACTCCTGGCCTCAAGTGATCCTCCCACCTTGACCTCCCAAAATGCTGGGAATACAGGCATGAGTCAGGGTACCCAGCAAGTACTGCTTTTTAATTCTACAGCAGAAGCATAGCTGGGGCAAGTCATATCGGCCAACTCATCTCCTGTAAAGTTCTGTGTCATCCTTTCAGTAATAAAGGCAATAGCTGTAACTGACACGCATTGTTACTATCCAGCGGGTTCTGTTCTGATGTATTATGGTTATTTACTTACGTACTTCGTAGAATGACACTATAAGGGAGGACTGGTGTTCCCACTTTAGAGATGAGGACACTGAGGCACAGAGACCTGAAGTGAGGTCACACAGCTCGTGTGCATCTGGGTGTTAGATCCTGGCAGTCAGGTTTCTTCTATGACGACTAGAAATGTGGGTAGAGGAGACGGGCTGGATGAGCCAGTGGACGCCACCTGTAAGAATAATGTTCTGGGCCAGGCACGGTGGCTCAGCCTGTCATGCCAGCACTTTGGAAGGCTGAGGCAAGTGGATTGCCTGAGCCCATAGGTTTGAGACCAGCCTGGGCAACTTGATGAGACCTCGTCTCTACAATAAATAAAAAATGAGCCAGGCGTGGTAGTGCGGGCCTGTAGTTCTGGCTACTTGAAAGGTTGAGGCAGAAGAATCACCAGAGCCTAGCAGGTTGACACTGGGGTGGCCGTGCGTGTGCCACTGCTCTCTAGCCTGGGTGATGGAGTGAGACTCCAACTCAAAAAAAATAAATAAAGAAAATAATAATGTTCTAACCCTTGGAAGGTGGAAAACAAATAAGCAAATATTTCACATGTAAATGATGAATCAGGGTCATGTTCATTCTAATAACAAGAAATTAATTCAATATAAACACTTCAAAAAGTCATGACTTTTTAATCAGACATGGAGGCTCACACCTGTAATCTCAGTACTTTGGGAGGCCAAGGCAAGGAGACTGCCTGGGTCCAGGGGTTCAAGATCAGCCTGGGCAACTTGCTGAGATCTTGTCTCTACAATAAATCAAAAAATTAGCTGGGCGTGGTAGTGCATGCCTGTAGTCCCAACTACTTAGGAGGCTAAGGTGGAAGGATTGCCTGGGCCCAGCAGCTCAAGGGTGTGGTGGCTATGAGCGTGCCACTGCACTCCAACCTGGGCGACAGAATAAGACTCTGACTCAAAAAAAAGTGACTTTTTTTGTGACACTGTTGAATTCTTTGATCAGCGCGGTCACCTTGGGTTAGTCCTGGTGGTGCATTCATGACCTAAATCAGTGCGGCTGGTCTTGGAAGACTTGGGTGACTCTCTCTTGTGCCCCGAGAGGCAGATGACCTTTTGTGTTGAAGTAGAGAAATGCTCCTGAGAAAAGAAGTTGGACACTTTAGCTCTGTTCTTTTAGGTAAAATCAACCAAACCACCCAGTTAGAAACTGTCAGCAATCACCCTGACTTTAAGGGCTTCCAGAGAGCTGAGCCTCCCTCAGTGACCTGTTTCATCTGTAACTTTTACCCAGAAGGATCGCGGCTGCTTGATCAGCATCTCAGATTCTAGAAAGATGAAATTTGGTAACCTTTGCTCTTCCTATGCTGTGAGGACAGTTGCTAGGAAACCGAGTGACCAAGAGATACCCCTCATTAAAATTCTGTATTTAAGGAAAGCAAAAACATTTGGAGAGGAGAGAAATGGCAGCTTTTTAGGGATGTGGGGTGTGGTCCAGGTGTTACTCTGTCGCCCAGGCTGGAGTGCAATGGCACGCTCATGGCTCACCACAATCAGGCAATCCTTCCTCCTCAGCCTCCCAAGTAGCTGGAACTACAGGTGAGTGCCAACCTGCCCAGCTAATTTTTAAAAAAATTTTGTTGTAGAGATGAGGTCTTGCTATGTTGCCCAGGCTGATCTTGAACTCCTGGGCTTAAGTGATCCTCCTACCTCGGCGTCCCAAAGTGCTGGGATTACAGGTGTGAGTCATCGTGCCTGACCTCTTTTTTTTTTTGCCCCCCAGGACAATGACAAAAGTAGTAAGAAAAAGCACACATTTCCCTGCCACCATCTGCCCACCACCCTCCCTGCCATTAAGAATAAGATAGGGAACCAGATGCGGTGGCTCACACTTTTCATCCCAGCACATTGGGAGGCGGAGGTGAGAGGATTGCCTGGGCCCACAGGTTTGAGACTAGCCTGGGCAACTTGGTGAGATCTCATCTCAACAATAAATCAAAGCATCAGCGAGGCATGGTGGCGCAAGCCTGTGGTTCCAGCTACTCGGAAGGCTGAGGCAGAAGGATCGCCGGAGCCCAGCAGGTTGAGGCTGCGGTGGCTGTGAGCGTGCCATTGTACTCCAGCCTGGGTGACAGAGTGAGACTCCGAGTCAAAAATAAATAAACAAACAAATAAAAGAATATGATTAAGACAGGATTACACTAGTTTGGATCTGCACTGCAAGTATTTTAGAAATTCCTTCTGACCTGCCTATTAACCCTCAATGTAAATGGAAGATTCTTTTTTTTCTTTTTTTGAGTTGGAGTCTCACTCTTGTCACCCAGGCCAGAGTGCAGTGGCATGCTCATGGCCACTGTAGCCTTGACCTGCTGGGCTCAGGTGATCCTTCCACCTCAGCCTTCTAAGGAGCTGGAACTAGAGACACACGTCACCACGCCCGGCTATTTTTTTTGTGTGTGACTTATCGTAGAGCTGAGGTCTCACCAAGTTGCCCAGGCTGCTCTCGATCCCCCGGGCTCAGGCATTCCTCTCGCCTCGGCCTCCCAATGTGCTGGGATGACAGGCTGAGCCACCGCGCCTGGCCAAATGGAAGATTGTTTAGAGAACTTGCTGCACACGACTTGACTGCTTTGAGGACCCAGAAGAAATGGGAAATGGCAGCACTACGGGTTTAAGGAAGGAGTGACCCCGTTAATCAGGCAGCCGTTAACCAAAGTGTTGTGTGCCTATGCTGCGGAATACTAGACAATCACAAAAGAGATGGAAGTGAATCTTTTTGTTTTTTTTGAGTTGGAGTCTCACTCTGTCGCCCAGACTGGAGTGCAGTGGCCACTCCCGGCCACCGCAGCCTCGACCTGCTGGGCTCCGGCGATCCTTCCGCCTCAGCCTTCCGAGTAGCCGGAATTACAGGCATGCGCTACCACGCCCGGCTGATTTTTGATTTATTGTAGGGATGAGGTCTCGCTGCCCAGGTGGGTCTCGAACCTGCGGGCTCAGGCCATCCACTCACCTCAGCCTCCCAAAGTGCTGGAATGACAGGCTGAGCCACTGAGCCCGGCGGAAGTGAATCTTTATACACAGACGTGAGAAACTCTGCACTATGTCTTAAGTGAGATGATCAAGTTCCAGATTAATATGTGACATTATTTACCTAGGATTAAATATATATTATAAAATTATATAACATTAAAATATTATACATGTATATGTTATAAGTAATGTATCTTTATATGCCTGGAAAGACATAAACCAAACTGATAATAGATACTTTTTTTTTTTTGGAGTCAGGGTCTCATCCTGTTGCCCAGGCTAGACACGGGCTTACCACCGCCTCAGCCACCCAAGTAGCTGAGGTTACAAAGGCATGAGTCACCACATCCGGCCAATAGATACTTTTAAAAAATATTGGGCAACCTCTTTAGGTCCCCTCCCACTGTGGGAGCTTTTCTGTCCACTTAATAAATCCTACTTAAAAAAAAAAAAAAATTAGACACAGAGCCTCACTCTGTCATCACCCTGGCCGGAATGCAGTGGCGTGATCATCGGTCACTACAGCCTCACCCTCCTGGGCTCAAGTGGTCCTCCTGCCTCAGCCTCCTGAGTAGCTGGGACTACAGGGGCTACCGCGCTCTGCTGCCCCGTAAGATACTTTGAGAGTGGGATGGGAGGGGTGGTGGAGAGCAGAGAGCGTCTATCTCTGATTTTATGCATTTCTCCACTGTTGAGATGTTGGTAAATAATTTTATAATGAGCAAGGTTCTATTTAAAACTTTTTAAAAAACTGCATAAGGGAAAAAATTCCCTGTGGTATCAAACACTGGAATGAGTTATATAGACAAATCATGTACTATGAAAGGGATTACAGAATATATATATATATATATATATATATATATATATAATATCAGCTAATTGAATTTCAGTAAACAAAGATTCGAACAAGCCCCTCTTTGTTCCTCTTTCAGAAAGCTACACTCTTACAAGACCCCGTGTATGCCCGTGCGTTCAGGCCTGCTGGAAGGCAGAAGCCATATAGGTAAGGAGCGGCGGTATATGACATGGAGGCTTTTCTCTCCTCTTGCGTCTCCTAACTCTGTGCTGTACGTGTGGCTGACGATCACATTTATTTGTTTTTATTTAATAAATAAAAGTTTTTATTAACATCGGCATCCGGCTGTGTTGCCCAGGCTGGTCTTGAGCTCTTGGCCTCAAGTGGTCCTCCCATCTCAGCCTTCCAGAGTTCTGGGATTATAGGCAGGAGCCACCACGCCTGGCCCAGACATTATATTTTAAAATGATGACTCACCAAGTAATTGTCTTCTCAGGGGTGTGACTGGCATCATCATGACTGTGGGCCAGGTACCGGATCAGTGGTCTATGCATCTCTTTGTGGGGAAGGCCTCCACTGTGAGGCTCAGGCCTGGCCTGTTCTAAGATTAGCCTCTGGAATTTGGGCCTGGTTGGTGTTACCCTGATAGGCCCAGGGTGATAGGTGAGCTGGCTCACAACTCACCCTGGGCAGAGAGGGTGCCCTAGCTGGGCCTTCCCATCTGGCTTGCTGTGAGGTCAGCCCCTGGAATTCTAAGAAAGCAGAGTCAGGTAGGCCTCACAGTGCAAGGGAGGCCAGGAAGGGGAAGTGTGCAAAAGACAGTTTTAAAGCCACACTGAAAAAGAGGGTGTGGATTTGCTTTGAAAGCTGGAATTCTTAACCACAATATCACATAAATCACAGGAAAGCTCTGAGAGGTCTGGAGTAGTGAGGCACATGGGGGTCATGTGAACGGGCTGAGAGTAAATCAGTTTTAAAAGATGCACGTTCAATCCCCGCTAAAAGAGCCAAGTTCCTTAGAGGAGCGGCTGATTCTAGCCCTGAGCGGGAAATGTACCAGGTGAGTCTACGACAGCTTACAGCAGAAGGGACACAGAAGGGGTGGCCACTCAGGACACAGGAACCCACACGGCGGGGCTCCTCTAGTCAAAGGTGGGACGACTGGAGCATCGGAAGAAGCGAGGAATGAGGTGACAGAAACACAACGGACACGTGAAAGTTCAGAAAGGTATGATGGCATATGATAGAGAGGGTCCTTCCTGCAACCCCCAAAGAAACAAAATTGAGGAATGAGGTGACAAACACAATGAACACATGAAATTCAGACGTGTACGATGGCATATGAGAGAGAGTCCTTCCTGCACCCCCGAAGAAATAAAAACGAGGGATGAGATGACAGAAACACAAGGAACACATGAAAATTCAGAAGTGTACAATGATGTAGGAGAGAGAGGGTCCTTCCTGCGTCCCCCAAAGAAATAAAACTCACTGAACATTAGAAGAAAACAGGACGCCATTCCTCACTGTGGATCCACAAATGGAAAGAAGGTTGTACAGATAGCTTAGAACTTCTACATGTTTGCGTATGCTTGCCCTAGAAAGATACCCGTTTTCGTTTTGGTGCTTTATCTAAAGTGATGTTTAAAGCTCACTGCATAGCAAAACAGACTTGAACTTTGTATGTGTGTGACTTGAAATGTATTCCTGAAGGCAAGAAGGAGCATTCTGCCGCTATCCCAACTCAGGAAGAGCATGTTCCTTGCAAAGTTATTCCTGAAGGCGGCGTATTGAAAGTGCAGTGATTTCACATGCTCCTTGAGGGATGTGGTGACACGTAAGACATGTCTCCACTGGCTGGGCACGTTTGGTTGAAAAGGAATAGACATGCTTTAGGTCTTCCAGTTAGAACTCTTGGTCACAAATGTGACTGTTCAGTCCTCTCATCCAGCTGTAAAGCCTTATGCAAATGGGAGGTATTGTTTCTATGAAAGGTCTGGACAAATAAAGACACACAAGAAAATAGAGCTTATTATTAGATCAACAGTCTTCCTGCACATGATTTTGGTGGATTTATGCTTCTTTCTTTGTTTTAATGATAAAGATGTAGGGTATAATTCAGGGTCAGGTATACAAACATTGCATATGCAGGTACCCTTGTTGATGAGGTGTGCCCCTCCCTCCCCTAACAGTTTCTCACTACTGCCAATCCCTTTCTTATAGCATTATGAAAATTGTTCCACGTCCACTTATGAGTGAGAACATATGGCACTCTGTTCTTTGTTCCTGTGATAGATCACTGAGTATGATCGACTCCAAATCTATCCAAGTTGCTGCGAAGTCCATATGTTTGTCCTGGATTTATGCCTTCTGGCTGAGGGAAACATCAAGTGTCTGTGAACATTGTTAGCAATGTCCCTCTTATTCCTGAGTTGAATACTGGGGTCTTCTGGTACTCGACTGTTTCTTATTTCAGTTAGTCCAGTGCACCAGTAAAGTTTGTCGTCTACGTAGAAGCAAATAGTCTCTGGATTTCCAAAGAAACTGTCGTTGTTTCTTGATAACTTGTCATTATTTCATCTGACTTGAATTTATGATGCGTATGACACCTCGAGTTATATTACTTGATTTTTAGTATGAGTGGTTATTGTGCTTTTTCCTATGAACTTTTTTTGCCTTTTTTTGCTAAGCATACTAAGCAATTTGGTCTTTAAAACGATGAATTTGGCATCGCCATCTGTTATTGTAGGTGGCAAAGGATTAAAGACGGTTTGTTTCTATTGTGGATCTTAGCATATTGCTGACTCTAAATGGGAAAAACAGGAAAATCGTTTTCCAGATAATTCTGCTGACGTCGTGTTTCATCTATGCTTTTGCTTTTCTAAGCGCATTTGTTTGTGAAAACTACATTTCTGTTGTTTCTGGAGTTTTCAGAGAGTAGAGGCATTTTCTGGTTATTTTAAAAATGAAACATGGTAGTGATTAGAAGTGAATGTATAGGGAATGGGTATCTCAAACTTATTCCTGTTTTACTTAGAGACCATTTATTACTGTGTGCTAAGCACATGCATCAAGTAAAGTATCAAAACAACACAACTGGCCGTGTGCAGTGGCTCATGCCTGTAATCCCCACAATTTGGGAGGCAAAGGAGGGAGGATTGTTTGAGCCCAGGAGTTTGAGACCAGCCTGGGCAACATAGTTAGACCCTATTTCAAACAAGCAAACAAACAAACTTAACTAACTAACAGAAAAAAAAAACCCCATAAAACCCTAGCACAACTGGATAGGTGCTGTCATCATCATTTTACAGATGAGGAAACTGAGACATGGAGAAGCAATGTAACCTGCTCAGATAATTACCCACAGATAGGATCCAGCATTCATCCACCTCTATGGTTGCTATTGCTAGATTTGTAATGATCATTTCTCCTCCCGTGTCTCTATGAGAAAAGAGACCATCTTGTCAGAAGTCTTAGTTTGAGGGTTAAGAAGAGAGACTCACAGACTGGACGGAGGATAGCCTGTTACTTTTTTCTTTTAATGGGGAGATGGTGGGCAGGAACCCATATTCCATGGGGCACGTTAGGATCCATGGCTGGCATCACAAGCTTCTGGAGTGGGTGGAAAAACAGGTTCCAAGTCAGAAATTCGAAACTTCCATCAATCTTTGCAGAACGTGAACTGTCCCTTGTGTCACTTTGCACCCAGCTTTGAGTCACTTGTGTGAGCTTGGACAGGTCACTTAACCCTCTCACCTCCTCTAAGATGTGACAGGAACCCCCAGCACAATCCCTTGGTGGGAGCCAGCTCAGTGAATAAGCCGGGTCAGAGCCCGCCCCATGGTCAGTGTCCAGCCAAGCACAAGTTATTGCTGAGCACAGCAGGAGATGAAACAATATTTAATCCAGTAACTTTTTTTTTTTTAAGTTGTGAAAAGTCAGCTGAGGGGCTAGGATGCTTGTGCCAAATAACACAGTGGGCCGGGCTCAGTGGCCGGGCTCAGCCTGTAATCCCAGCACTTTGGGAGGCCGAGGCAAGTGGATTGCCTGAGCCCGTGGGTTCGAGACCCACCCAGGCAACTTGCTGAGACCTCACATCTACAATAAATCAAAAATTAACTAGGCCGTAGCACATGCTTATAGTTCTGGCTCCTTGGAAACCTGAGGTGGAAGGAGCCCAGTAGGTCGGGGCTGCGGTGGCCGGGAGCGGCCACTGCACTCCAGTCTGGGTGACAGAGCGAGACTCCAACTCAAAAAAATCCCAAAAAACACAGTGGAGTGAAACGGGACTGATGTGATGCTGGAACGCTGCGAGGGACAGGACTGTGTTCCTTCTTGGTGGAATTAGGGAAGGTTCTTTTTTTGTAATTTAAAATTTGAATTGGAGTCTCACTCTCTTGCCCAGGCTGGAGTGCAGTGGCACAGTCATGGCTACCACAACCTCGACCTGCTGGGCTCAGGTGATCTTTCTGCCTTAGCCTCCTGAGTGGCTGGAACTACAGGTGAATGTCACCACATTCGGCTAATTTTTAAATTTTTTGTAAAGACGAGGTCTCGCTATGTTGCCCAGGCTGGTCTCAAACTCCTGGGCTCAAGCAATCCTCCCGCCTCGGCCTCCCAAAGCGCTGGGATTCCAGATGTGGGCACCACACCCAGCCTGAATTAGGGAAAGTTCTAAGGAGAAGGTCTTTTCAGCAAAGCCAGCTCTTCCCAAAGCGTGGGCCGTGCATGGCTCAGTGATGGGATGACCCCAGGGTGCTCTGACATGGCAGGAAATCGCTTTGAACTATTTCCAGCTAGTCTGATGTCATCAGGAAAGCCTTTGGGTGTGGGGTCAGGAGGCATGACTCTTGGCTCCATGCCCATCTGCCTGTTTCTCACAGAGTGAAAGCCTCAGCCGTCCTGGCTTAGGGTTGACGCTACTTTCATGCTATTTGTGCAGTACCCACAATGCATGCCAAGTGGCACTGGTTTTCCCTGTAAAGTAGTGATACAAAGCTTTCTTTATAAATTTCTTTAAGCAAAAAAAGTGAGTTAATTAAAAGAAAAAATATTAAGCAAATATTATTATTATTATTTGTTTATTTTAAGTCAGAGTTCCACTTTGTGGCCCAGGCTGGAGTGCAGTGGCACGTTCCCGGCCACCCCAGCATTGACTTGCTGGGCTCTGGTGATCCTTCCGCCTCAGCCTTCCAAGTAGCTGGAACTACAGGCGTGTGCCACCATGCCCGGCTAATTTTTTAGTTTATTGTAGAGACGAGGTCTCGCCAAGTTGCTTGGACTGTTCTCAAACCCCTGGGCTTAGGCAGTCCTCTTGCCTCTGCCTCCCAAAGTGCTGGGATCACAGGCATAAGCCACCGCACCCGGCCCTGAAGCTAAGAGACGTCCTTATTTTTCTTTTTTTTGAGCAGTCTCACTCTGTCGCCTGGGCTGGAGTGCAGTGGCATGCTCCTGGCCATCCCAGTGTTGACCTGCTGTTCTCCGGCGATCCTTCCATCTCAGTCTTTCAAGTAGCCAGAACTACAGGTCCATACCACCACACCCGGCTAATTTATTTATTTATTGTAAAAACGAGGTCTCGCCAAGTTGCCCAGGCTGGTCTCGAGCTTGCGGGCTCAGGCACTCGCCTCGGCCTCCCAAAGTAGTGAGATGACAGGCTGAGCCACCAAGCCTGGCCCATTACACACGGTTCCATGAATTATGGTAAATAAAAAAGAGAAATTTACCAGAGACAGCAACAGTGAAGTATGTTTGGACAGACAAGGGAGCGTGGACAGGAAGTATGTTTGAAGAGTAATAAGTAGCTTCATCTAGGGGAGCACGTTTCACTGTTGATGGATGGATAACACAGCTGGCCGTACAAAGCTGTGGTGAAATTCCATGAGAAACAAAGTTGAACCAACTGTCGATAATCGGTGCTATTCCTAAACTGCTGTGTCTTTTTGTTAACATGGAACATCTTCTGTGTTTCTGTAGATCTGAGGAGAAAATCCGGCACTTCAGTCAACTGAAATCTGAACTTTTTCTTAAAGACAATACTTTGGGGAAGATACTTGGTTTAATCACGGAGCTGAAAGGAGCAGCCCAGAAAAACTTCATTCTGAAGAGGCTCTTCTGGAAGGCAGGTGTTTTGCTTCATTTTTAATCTTTAAAACGTGAAAGGCCGAGGTGAGAGGATTGCCTGAGCCACAGGTTTGAGACCAGCCCGGGCAACTTGGCGAGACCTCATCTCTGCAATAAGTCAAAAATTAACCGGGCGTGGTGGTGTGTGCCTGTAGTTCCTGCTATATGGAAGGCTGAAATGGAAGGTTTGCCGAAACCTGGCAGGCTGATGCTGGGGTGACCATGAGTATGCCACTACACTCTAGTCTGGGCGATGGAGTAAGACTCCGACTTGGAAAAAAAAAAAAGAATAAAACGTAAAAAACATGTTTCACCTGATTACCAAATTGAGCATGAATTAAAACATAGTAATTAATATTGTCTTGTGTTCTGATGCTTTGCTTTATTTTTTCATTTTTTGAGTCAGAGTCTCTGTTGTTCAGGCTGGAGTGCAGTCACATGGTTCTAGCCATCGCGGCCTCGACCTGCTGGGCTTAGGTGATCCTTCTGCCTCAACTTTGCAAGTAGCTGGAATCACAAGCATGCACCACCATGCCTGGCTAACATTTAAAAAATTTTTATTATCGAGACAAGGTCTTGCCAGGTTGCCCAGGCTGATCTTGAACCCATGGGCCAGGCAATCCTCTCACTTCCACCTCCCAAGGTGCTGGGATTATAGGTGTGAGCCACTGCACCTGACTTATTTTTTAAATTTATTGTAAAGATGCGGTCTTACCATGTTGCCCAGGCCAGTCTCGAATCCTTGGATTCAGGCAATCCTCTCGTCTCTACCTCCCAAAGTGCTGGGATGACAGGCATGAACCACTGCGCCTGGCCCTGATGCTGTATTTTAAAATGTCAATTAAATGTAATGCAGTCGTGTCTTAGCACTTGATCATTTTGGATGTGATCAATAATGTCTATGTGTATGTTGGGGGGAGATGGGAAGGAGGGGTAGTGAAGAGTAGCTCATGTGGGCTGGGTTGGAGAGCCGAAGAAAAGAGGTTCCAGTGGGAAGGTTTTTGGCATGTGTGGGGCCGTGGGATGGGGAAGTGGATTTCCACAAGTGTTACTATGCAGACTCCTTTACAGTAAAAATAACATTTTTAAAAATTACTTTTGAGGCCGGGTGCGATAGCACATGCCTATAATCCCAGCACTTTGGGAGGCGGAGGAAGAGGATTGCTTGAGCCCAGGAGATCAAGGCCAGCCTGGGCAACATAGTGGAACCTGGCCTGTAGTCCCAGTTACTTGGGAGGCTGAGGTGGGAGGATCACCTGATCTCAGGAGGGCGAGGCTGCAGTGAGCTGTATCACATCACTTCACTCCAGCCTGTGTGACAGAGTGAGATCCTGTCTCTAAAAAATAATAAATAAAAGTAAAAATTCCTTTTGCATGTAGGACTGGTGTTTTTACACACATGACTCCTGGGGAGGCTTGTTATAGACACTTTGTTTTCAGTTTCAGGTGATGGTAGAAGGAAGCCTGGGTGAGGGTTGGTGTGGTGCTGGTGAGGCCTGGTGAGGGTGTATGCCCTGCAAGGGCTGAGCTCACGTGGTGGCTCTCTGTTGTGTCCTGATCCTGGCTGCCGTTTTATTGAGAATTTGCGAAGCACACAAACTCCCAGCCACGTGAGACAGTCCCAGCTATTTCGTGGATTCTTTTTTTTTTCCCAGGGAGTAAAACCATTATTTCATGAATTCTACACAGCAACCAGCCATCTGTTTACCCAGATTTGGCAGACCCAGTGTTCCAGTTTGCCTGGGAAAGGAAGCACCCAGGATTTTGGAAAGCAAGGACAGTTCCAGGCAAATGAGGAAGGGTGATCACCCAAACTAGACGGCAAGATTAGCTGTAGAGAATAACATGGCCAGGCCTGGTGGCAAGTGCCTGGAGTCTCAGATACTTGAGAGGCTGAGGCAGGAGAATCTCTGGAGCCCAGGAGTTCAAGGTTGCAGGATCTATGAGTGTGCCATTGCACTCCAGCCTGGGCAACAGAGTGAGACCCTGCCTCTAAAAAAGAGAGAGAGGGAGAATATGGCCAGTGCCCTACAGCCTGCGCCTCTGCTAGACAGAGCTACCAAGGCCATCAGTGGAGAAGGCGCAGTGTCCGAGGGTGAGGTGGCCGCTATGTGGGGAATGGTGCCCAGGCTGGTCTCAAACCCGCGGGCTCAGGCAATCCTCCTGTCTCTGCCTCCCAAAGTGCTGGGAGCCTCTTTGATTCTTTATTTTTTTAGTTTTTTATTTTTTTTGAGTTGGAGTCTCACTCTGTCACCCAGACTGGAGTGCAGTGGCCGCTCCCGGCCACCGCAGCCTCGACCTGCTGGGCTCCAGCGATCCTTCCGCCTCAGCCTTCCGAGTAGCTGGAATTACAGGCATGCGCTACCACGCCTGGCTGATTTTTGATTTATTGTAGAGATGAGGTCTCGCCAAATTGCCCAGGCAGGTCTCGAACCCACGGGCTCAGGCAATCCACTCACCTCAGCCTCCCAAGGTGCGGGATTACAGGCTGAGCCATCGAGCCCGGCTTGATTCTTTATTATATGCACTGTTCTATATAGTGGATACTAGCTGCGTACCTGTTAAGCGCTTGAATGTGGCTGGTGACTAAACAGGTGGAATGTTCATCGTATTCTCTTTCAGTTCATTTAGACATCTGCTGTCTGTGCTGGACAGTGCAGTGCTGTGACCTTGGTCGTGCCCATGCCCTGTGACAGTTCAGCAGCAGGTCACACGTCTAGCCCGAGCGAGGCGTGGGGTATGTCGCATGACCACGACTCAGCTCCTACCCCCCAGAGTCATCACAGACATGCTTCCTTCATAATTGTAGCTATCAGTCTGTTTTTCCTATTTGTCATAACATGCTGTATGCGTTTTTAGGACAGCCATGTGTCTTATTCGGCTTGATTTCTCCCCAAGGCCAAACTCAATGCGGGCGTGTTCCAGGTCCCATAGGCTTTTCCTGTTGAATTGCATGTTTATTCTCTTGTGAAAAATTAACCTGATCAGAAGTGTAAGAATAAAAATATGTATGTACGGTGACTCAGGCCTATAATCTCAGCATTTTGGGAGGCCAAGATGAGAGGATTACCTGAGACCACGGGTTCGAGACCAGCCTGGGCAACTTGGCGAGACCTTGTCTCTACAATAAACAAAAAAACCAGCCGGGCATGGTGGTGCATGCCTGTAGTTTTGGCTACTTGGAAGGTTGAGGCGGAAGGATCTCCTGAGCCCAGCAGGTTGAGGCTGTGGTGGTCACGAGTGTGCCACTGCACTCCAGCCTGGGTGGCAGAGTGAGACTCCAACTCAAAAAAAAAAATTCATATACATACACATTTTAAAAAGAGGAGGCTGAGTGTGGTGGCTCACATCTGTCATCCCAGCACTTTAGGAGACTGAGATAGGAGGATTGCTTGAATCCAGAACTTCTAGATCAGCCTAGATACCATGGTGAGACCCTGTCTCTACAAAAATAAAAATAAAAAAAGTTAGCTGGACATGGTGGTGTAAGCCAGTAGTCTCAGCTCCTCAGGAGGACGAGGTAAAAGGATCTGAGCCCTGGAGGTCGAGGCTGCGGTGAGCCGTGGTCGTGCCGCTGCACTCCAGCCTGGGCGACAGAGTGAGACCCCGACTCAAAACCACAACAAGAAACTTTTGGCCCAATGCAAAAAGTTCATCCCTGTGGTCCTACACTTTGACAGGTCTAGGCAGGAGGATCACTTGAGCTCAGGAGTTCAAGACCAGCCTGGGTAATGTAGTGAGGCCTCACCTTTACACAAATAAAAAAAGGTGAGAATTTTGAAAAAAAGAAGTCTAGGAATAAGACAGCATGATGCTCTTTGCACTTGAAAATGCTGCACCTGTTCTTCAATGCCACGGTCTTTACTGGATAAAACAGATCTTCTGATTCTGCTGTCGAGACTGAAAGGCCCAAGTGAATGGAGAGAGACGTAAAAGGCAGCGGGTAGGCAGCCTCTCTCTTCGGGGTCTCTCCACGCTTCAGGGGAGGCCTGTGGCCTGCCCGCCACCAGCCGTCAAGACCCTGCAGTCTCAGGGCTCTCTCTAATCCGCAGCCGGCATCCGTCTTCACCCACGTTTGCACAAAGTCAGCACGTGATGATCACCGGTCGACATTTGTGCCTTCTAGTAAGAGTTTTTTTATTTTATTTTTTTTGAGTTGGAGGTCGCCCAGGCTGGAGTGCAGCGGCACACTCATGGCCACCCCAGCATCCACCTACTGGGCTCCGGCGATCCTCCTGCCTCAGCCTTCTAAGGAGCCGGAACTACAGGCGCACGCTACCACGCCCGGCTAATCTTTTGATTTATTGTAGAGGCAAGGTCTCCCCAATTTGCCCAGGCTCTTCTTGAACTCGTGGGCTCAGACAATCCCCTTACCTCGGCCTCCCAAAGTACTGGGATTACAGGCTTGAGCCACCACGCCCAGTCAGGAGTTTTTTATTTAAGCGGTTGTCATAGCTTAAGGTGAGGCAACTTTGTGCTAGGTTTCTTGGAAAACTTAAGGTGGCATGAAGCCCCCTGGGGACCCCATCCCGGGGTAGAGAGATTAGGGATTCTGCCTTAGTCTGTTTTGTGATGCTGTAACAGAATATCACAGGTTGGGTAATTTATGAAGAAAAGAAATTATAAAGAAAGGGTGGGGGCTGAACTCATTTTTTAAGGGGCAGGGTCTCACTCTATTGCTCAGAGTGGAGTGTAGTCGTGCAATCACAGTTTACGGCAGCCTCAACCTCCTGGGGTCAAGTGATCCTCTCACCTCAGCCTCCCAAGTAGCTAGGACTACATGTGTGAGCCACCGTGCCTGACTGATTTTTTTTGTTGTTGGTAGAGACTGGGTCTCACTATATTGACCAGACTGGTCTGGAGCTCTTGACCTCAAGCAATCCTCATACTCCGACTTCTCCAAGTGCTGGGATGACAGGCATGAACCACCGTGCCCGGCTTCTTTTTTAATTTTATTGCAAGTCAGTTTAAAGGATGAGAACACGTTTCAGTGGGTTGACTAACCTCCAAGCTTTGGAAGAATAGACACATCTGTCTGTTTTGCTCAAGATAATGTCTCGTTCTCTAGTGTAATGCCTGCCACGTGTCTGGCAAACACCAGCCACGTGTTCAGTGAGTGTGTATGTGAATAAGCGAGAGAGTTTTCTCAGTGTGTTCTTTGCCAGTCTTTATTTTTCTCCATGAGGGTTTTCCCCAAGTTTTACACTTCGTGGCAAAATGCACACAACACACAATGTACCTTCTTAATCACGTTCGCGTATCCATTACATGGCACTGCGTGCATCCACGTGGCTGTGCAGATCAGTGCCAGCATCTCCCGAACTCTTCATCTTGCCAAACTGAAGCTCTTCATCTGGTAACCAACTTTCCCCTCCCCCTCTCCCCACGTGGGAGCCGGCATTCTGCTTTCTGTCTCTGTGACTCGCATTCTAAGTACCACCCTTTCTGTGACCGGCCCACTTTACTTAGCGTCACATCCTCAAGTTTAACTCAGGCGTAGCCTGGGTCCAGATGGCCTTCCTTTTTACAGCTGAATCGTATTGCCTGGTGTGTGTAGGTGGGTGTAGCTTACACCTTCATCTGCTGGTGGTCACCTGTGCTGCTTCCATGTTTTATCTTTGTTTTTATTATTATTACTGTTTTTGAGTCAGAGTCTCACTCTGTGGCCCAGACTGGAGTGCAGTGGCATGGTCCTGGCCACCGTGGCCTCGACCTGCTTGGCTCAGGGGATCCTTCTGCCTCAGCCTTCCAAGTAGCTGGGACCACAGGCATGCACCACCATGCCCGGCTAATATTTTTAAAATTTTATTCTAGAGACGAGGTCTTGACAAGTCGCCCACTGGTCTCGAATCTCTGGGCTCAGACCATCCTCCCACCTTGGCCTCCCAAAGTGCTGGAATGACAGGGGTGAGCCACCGTGCCCGGCTGCTTCCATGTTTTAGATGTGGATGATGCTGTTATGGACACGAGTGGGCCGCTAGCTCTCTTTGTTCTTTAATTTCTTTTTTATATTTTATTTTAAAGATGTGGAGTACCGTTCAGGATTAGGTATACAAGTGGACGTCATATAGGGAGAATGTGGGCCTCACTTCGGTCCCCACTTTGCCTGCTTTGAGATCAGGAACCCTTACTGATGTTATGTCCCCCCACCTCCACCCTGGCAGCATCCCGCTACTGCCAATCCCTTTCTTGCAGTGTTACGATTAGCTTCCAGGGTCCGCTTATGAGTGAGAACATGGGGTCTTCTGTTCTTTGTTTCTGCGATAGATCACTGAGTATGACGAACTCTAAATCCATCCGAGTCGCTGCGAAGTCCATACGTTTGCCTTCTTATGGCTGTGCACTATTCCGTCTTATTCTTTGTTATTTTAAAGATGTGAGGTACAAGTCAGGACTGGGTGTGTAAGTGGTGAAGTATAGGTGAGGTTTGGGCCTCCCCTTGGAGACCTCACTTTGCCTGGACTGGGATTGTGCACCCTTGTTGATATTGTGTGCCCCCTCCTATCTTTTTAAGCCCCCGCTTTCAGTGTTTAGGGACTTCACTCAAGATTCAGAGCCTTTGCATCACCCGGGAGTTTCCCTTGTGCTCTTGGCCGCCGGCACCCCCCCCCGGCCCCCCCCCCCCCCGCCGGCCTCCTGTAAGACTCGTTTTGCCTCTGAGCCCCCCACTTAGATGGACTCCTGCTTGGAGGACCCTTTTGTGCCTGATCTCTTTTGGTATTATACTTTTGAGATTCTTCCATGTTGCTGCAGGCAGATAGATGGTATTTTATAAGTGAAAATTCCTGAACCAGCAAGAGGCAAGAGATCATCATAATAATCGAACCTTGGCTGGGCACAGTGGCTCATGCCTATGATCCCAGCACTTTGAGAGGCTGAGGAGGGAGGATTGCCTGAGCTTAGGAGTTCAAGACCAGCCTGAGCAACAAAGTGAGACCTCATCTCTGAAAAAAAAAAAAGCCAGACATTGTGGCACGTGCCTGTAGTTCCAGCTAGTCAGGAGGCTGGGGCAGGAGGATCGCCTGAGCCCAGGAGGTCAAGGCTGCGGTGAGCTGTGATCATGCCACTGCACTGAAGTCTGGGCGCCTGAGTGAAACACTGACATAAAAATAAAAAATATAACTAGGCGTGGTAGCACGGACCTACTTGGAAGGCTGAGGCGGAAGGATCGCCGGAGCCCAGCAGGTCGAGGCTGCGGTGGCCGGGAGTGGCCACTGCACTCCAGTCTGGGTGACAGAGTGAGACTCCAACTCAAAAAAATAAAAAATAACAGATACTTACTAAGCACTTATGCTGTGTTAAGCACTGTTTAAGCTTTACAAATGCACACTATTTTATCGAATCCTAGTATCAACTCCATGAAGTGAGATTATAACTCTATGTTAAAGATGAAGAAACTCAGCCTCGGCAACAAAAAAAATTACCCGGGTATGGTGGCGCACATCTGTAGTCCCGGCTACTCAGGAGGCTGAGGTGGAAGGATAGCCTGAGCCCAGGCTGTGGTGAGTCGTGATTGTGCCACTGCACTCCAACCAGGGCGACAGAGTGAGACACCGACCAAAAAAAAAAAAAAAGATGAAGAAAGGGAGTCAAGGGAGTATACACAGTTTGCCAAATGCCACACAACTAACCAGTGGCAGAGCTGGGATTTGATCTCACAAAGCCTGACTCCAGAGTCCATGTGTAACCACGCACTCTGCCAGTGTACTGGGCCATGGGTGGTCCCGCCCACGCCCGAACGTGTCAGGTGTGCACCCTGCCCTCCTCCTGTTCCCTTTTCTCCAGTCCTTCCAGCCCTTCTTTCGCCATCTCCCTGAACGAGGGCATATGTCTGCTTATCTAAACAGAAAGAGCGGCCATTGCGTGACATGTCCCACTAGGGCCGACCTGCCTGACGTCATGGGCCAGGGCTGATTTTCATGCTCGACTTCTCTCTTGAGCCTGGACGGGGACACACAAAAATGGGCTCCCCAGCTGGAAGACAGAGTTTATTTGGGCAGAAATGGCAACCTGCAAGTCCTCTGGACTAGGAGAAGTATTAATGCCATTCTGTGCCATTTGCAAAGGCTAGACTCGAGCTGAGCATTTGTTTCTGTTTTAGTAAACTTTTTTTTTTTGAGTCGGAGTCTCACTGTGTTGCCCAGGCTGGAGTGCAGTGACACAATCACGGCTCACTGCAACCTTGACCTCCTGGACTCAAGCAATCCTCCCTCCTCAGCCTCCCAAGTAGCTGGGATTACAGGCATAAACCACCATGTCTGGCTAATTTTTTATATTTTTTTGTAGAGACGAGGTCTCGCTATGCTGTCCAGGCTGGTCTTGAACTCCCAGGCTCAAGTGATCTTCCTTCCTCAGACTTACAGAGTGCTGGGATTAAAGGTGTGAATCCTTGCACCTGGACAATAAACTTTTTTTTCGGGGCGGGGTTGAGTCTCACTCTGTCGCCCAGGCTGGAGTGCAGTGGCATGCTCATTGCCATTGCAGCCTCGACCTGCTGAGCTCAGGCGAACCTTGTGCCTCAGCCTTCCAAGTAGCTGGAACGACAGGCGTGCGCTACCACGCCCGGCTAATTTTTTGATTGATTGTAGAGACGAGGTCTCGCCAAGTTGCCCAGGCGGGTCTCGAACCCCTGGGCTCAGGCAATCCTCTCACCTCAGCCTCCCAAAGTGCTGGGATTACAGGCGTGAGCCATCGCACCCAGCTCAATAAACGTTTTTAAACAAGAACTTGCCTATTTGTTGTCCATTCGGTCCTCGCAAAGGCCAGATTACCTTGGAGAGGCAGAAATGATAGAGCACCATTTTCCAAGGTGACCGAGTAGCTCGCCCGAGGTCATGCATCTGCTTCCTGATGGTCTTGGGTGTTAAGGATGAGACCGACCTAAACGGGCCTCCCAGCATCCCCCCACCTTGTCCCCAGTACTCGCTTTGGTCCCCAGGACAGCGGTCTCCTGGCTGTAAGTACAAGCACGTCTTCGGTGTGGGTGATGCTCATATGAATGAGACATTGCCACTCACTTCTCCGGTCAAAGAGCACATCATCTCTTTCATAAGGAGGGAGTGTGGACAACGGATACCTTCATTCCACCTCCCTTCCTGCTTGCTTTCTCAGACCAGCGACTTCTTCCATTTCCTGGTGAGCAAGCTTCACGAGTACTTGCCAGAGTCCAGGGACAAGAACGCACTTCAGAATCAGAGCCAGAGGGCTGACGAGCTGGCGTGAGTACTAACTCGATAACCATATATTTTCTTTCCCTAGGGTGTTCAAGGTAGATGCAGGTCACCAAGAAAAACATATGCTGTACCAGTGAGTCATGGTGCTACAAGTCTTGCTTCACATAGATTTTTTTTTTTTTAAGTCAGGGTCTCACTCTGTTGCCCAGGCTGGAGTGCAGTGGCACACTCATGGCCACCGCAGCCTCGACCTGCTGGGCTCAGGCAATCCTCAGCCTCAGCCTCCCGAGTAGCTGGGATTACAGGCGTGTGCCACCACGCCTGGCTAATTTTTTAAATTTATTGTAGACATGAGGTCTCGTTGTGTGCCCAGGCTGGTCTCCAACTCCTGGGCTCAGGCTGCACTTTTGCCTCGGCCTCCCAAAGTGTTGGGATGACAGGCATGAGCCAACACACCCGGCCCACATAGAGTTTTTAAAATAGCATTCATTTTGTTCAATTTCAATAGAACAATGACGTGAAAAACTAGTAATATTTTGTCTGTAGGAGAGACACCTTTCACTGTGTTCTTTTTCTACCTTGGACGTTTTGAGCCAAATAGTACCTATTTGAAATTATTAAATTAAAAAATAATTTTAAAATAAAGTAGCGCTGATTATCCTTAAACACACAAATGAAAAAGAATATTAAAATGACTTAGTCTGGGCGTGGTGGCTCATGCCTATAATCCCAGCACTTTGGGAGGCTGAGACAGGGGGATTGCTTGAGCCCAGGGGTTTGAGACCAGCTTGGGTAGCATAGCGAGACCCCATCTCTACAAAAATAAAAAAGTTTAGCTGGGTGGCACGCACCTTAGTCCCAGGTACTCGGGAGGCTGAGTCAAGAGGATAGCTTGAGCTGAGGAGTTCCAGGCTGTGGAGAGCCAAGATCAGGCCACTGCACTCCAGCCTGGGGGAGAGTGAGAGCTCGGTGCAAAAAAAAAAGCGATCGAATCCCCATATCAGCCATGCATTTGTTTGTGAGTGCTTGCTGCACAGCGGTCCCCGACTTGGCACTTGACAGTGTCCGTCCCTTGCGGTGTGGCCCCTTCCCGTACTTCTTCCTGCGTGGCCAGCTGGGAGCAGTTCTGGCTAGGCTAGTCCTGGAGGGGGACACTGGGCATGCTTCCGCCCTGTTTCCTAGGGCATGCATTGAGATCATCCAGACCCTCGGGCTGATGTTCAGAGAAGCAGAGACGGAGTCCTCGCGCCTCAGCACGCTGACAGCCAAGAGGTGAGGGCCCTGGAGGCACTGGGACCTCGGAGTTGCCGCCACCGACTCTTCCTGCAAGCGTCTCCCGAAACTCACTGCCCTCCTGCGTATCGGCTCAACCCCTCTCAGCTTGTCTCTCTCATTTCTCTGCTTCCTTCCCGCAGGTTAACTGGAGCATGCTGGCTTCTCTCTGTCCCCCTGGACTATTAGGGGACAAAGGTTTTCGTAGCATGATGTTTTCCCTTGTGCTTAGTCTAGTGAACTTGAAAAAGACCAAGCGGCCCGTCATACATTAAGAGACCGGGGATCTGCCTAGAACTTTCCGGATCATCTCAGATCCACACAACAGAAGATCGCAAAAGCAGGAGGCCTGTAGCCTCATTGACTGTTGAATCACGTGACCTTGGGGTGAATGACCTTGGAGGGCTTAGTAATGGATTGCATGAGTTGCTGTGATAGAGACCCCCTAACATGTGTGGCCCCAGGAAGCCAGGACTGTGTGTCTCCCTCACCTAACAGCTCAGTGTGGACCACGGGCTTCCTCCACAGGCCAGCCAGGGCCCTGGCATCCTTCCCTCTTGTTACTCCACCGCCTTTGTCATGCTGTCTTTGTCCTCACGGTGGAAGCCAGCTGACCTGGTGGACGCGGCCATGGCCCAAGCTGTACCAGTCTTCTGTTGCCATGTAACGAATTACCACCAATGTAGTGGCTTAAAACAACACGCATTTCTTATCTCCCAGTGTCTGTGGGTCGGGATTGGGCCCGGTTTAGCAGGACCCCTGCTCAGCTCTCTCAAGGCCTCAGGGTGTCCGTGGGGCTGCAGCCTCGCTGACTCCGTGATTCTCTTCCAAGCTCGTCCGGGTGCTCCCCGGCAGAATCCATCTCCTTGCGGCTGTAGGATGCCAGTGGTCGCTTCTTGGCAGAAGAACATCCCGGAGCTCAGGGTGGACCTCAGCTCTCTCCTACGGCTCACCAGATTAGATTGGGCCCTCAGGAAAATCTCCTTTTGACGTACTCAGAAGTCAGCTCGTTAAGGGCCTTGATGCTTTCAGAATTGCTTCCGCTTTCCCGTCTAACATAATGTAGTCACAGGAGCGATTGTCAAGCGTATCCAAGGCGCTGCCCACGCTTGGGGAAGGGGGCCACAGGTGGTACCCCAGTGGGCTGGGAGGCTCGGAGGCCGGGCGGGGATTTGCCTACATGGACACAGGCTGACCCATGACACTGTGAAATATAGCCCTTCAGAGCCTGCATTTCAAAAGTTACTTTAATACGTTCAAAATTCACATATTGGAAATAATCTAAATAATGACTATATGAAACTACTGGAACTTTTTTCTTTTAGAAAAGGGCTTACATTTATTTTATTTATGTATTTACTTTTGAGTGGAGCTCTCCTTCACCCTAGCTGGAGTGCAGTGACTCGATCACGGCTCATGGCGGTGTCGACCTCCTGGGCTCAGTCGATCCTTCTGCCTCCCAAACAGCTGGGACTACAGGTGCACACCACCACACCCTGTTATTTATTTATTTATGTTTAAATATAAATGAGGTCTTGCTAGGTTACCCAGCCTGGTCTCAAACTCCTGGGCTCAAGCAGTCCTCCTGCCTCAGCCTCCCAAAATGCTGGGATTACGTGTGTGAGCCACTGTGCCCAGCCAGAATTATTCTTAAGACTATGATGTCAATCCTCTAACAAGTTTCTATTCTCAAGATGAAACTATCATTTTGATTGCAATTCTTCTATTATTGGCCTAGTGGGTTTTTAATTGAGTTGGCAGAAAGGGTATATTTCAAATTAAATTCCACTTGAGGAAATAATTATTTATCTCAGCATTTTCCTCTTTATTATTTTCATAAGTGGAGATTTATTAGTCCAGTCTACTTTGCTGTATTCTTCTTGAAATGGTTCACATTCTTCCATCTCCTAGTATTGTGAGGGTTGAATTTATCTATCACACAGCAAGTGACCCAGAACTTGACAGTTCCTTTTCTTAGCCTTGGATATAGAACTAGTACTGAAACTATGCTGCCCAGGCTGGTCTTGAATTCCTGGGCTCAAACAATCCTCCCACCTGAGCCTCCCAAATTGCTGGGATTAAGGTATGAGCCACCGTGCCCGGCCGACTTTGATTTTGATTGACATCAGGCTTGATCTCACTTATCTGTGGAACTGAAAAAAGTCAAACACACAGAAACAGAGAGAGTACAGTGGTGGTTGTCAGAGGCTTAGGGCAGGCGAGGAGCTGGGAGCTGTTGGCCAAAGGGTGCAAAGTGTCAGCTCTCAGAAGGGCGAAATTCAAGAGACCTATTGTACAACATGGTGGTTGTAGCTGATAATAACGTCCCGTTTACCTGGAAATCGCAGAGACGCAAGTCTACATGTTCTCCCTCCACAAAGATAAGTGTTGAGGTGATGCACACGTTAAGTTGCTCGACACTCCACGATGTGTACATATTGGAAAACGCCATGTCATACACCACAAATATACACGATTTTTATTTGTCCGTTAAAAGGACAATGTGAAAGCCAGTGTGGTCGTGGTCTATAGTCCCACTACTTGGGATGCTGAGGCAAAAGGATTGCTTGAGGCCAGGAGTTTAGACCTGCCGGGGCAATGTAGTGAGACCCCATCTCAAAAAAAAAAAAAAGACCGGGTGTGGTGGCTCACACATTTAATCCCACCTCTTTGGGAGACCGAGGTGGAAGGACTGCTAGAGCCCAGGAGTTTGAGACCAGTCTGGGCAGCATAGCAGGACCCCATCTCTTCCAAAAAAAACAAAACAAAACTGGTGTGGTGGCACACCTGGTGTGGTCCCAGCTACTTTGGAGGCTGAGGCAGGAGGACCACATGAGCCCAGAAATTGGAGGCTACAGGGAGCTGTGATTGTTCCATTGCACTCCAGCTTGGGCAACAGAGTGAGACCCTGACTCAAAAACAAAAAACAAAAAACAACCTTAAAAAAAACAAACAAAAAACCCACTGCATCCTGTTTATCCAGAAGACAAACAATGCCTATCAGTGTATTAAGGCCTCTGACAAGTCCTGTAGTCAATACATGCAGTGACCTTGGTTGAGCCAAGTATTTCCCATACTTCCCCTGACCACAGAATCCCTCTCTCTCTTTTTAAATTTTCTTTTGAGTTGGAGCCTCACTCTGTTGCCCAGGCTGGAGTGCAGTGACACGCTCATGGTCACCTCAGCATCAACCTGCTAGGCTCCGGCGATCCTTCCGCCTCAGCCTTCCAAGTAGCTGGAACTACGGTGCGCGCTATCACGCCCGGCTAATTTTTTGATTTATCATAGAGATGAGAGCTTGCCAAGTTGCCTGGGCTGGTCTCGAACCCGCGGGCTCAGGCAGCCCACTCGCCTCGGCCTCCCAAAGTGCTGGGATGACGGACTGAGCCACCGAGCCCGGCCCTCTCTCTCTTTTTTTAAGTTTTCAAAGTGTATTAGAAAAAGAAGGGAGAAAAGAAATGGAGACATGCCAGAGTTGGCACGGGCAAAAGAAATCGCCACAGAATCTCTTTTGACTGTAATGCCATTTAGAATTAATAATCTATAAAAAACCCTTTGGAAAGTATTGCTATATCTAAGGGCGATTTCACCCCGACCTCCCTTAAATCCAGATTTTCTAAGCTTTCCAAGCTATGTGTGCTTCAAGAATGACATTTTCTCTGAGCTCAAGGACCAGCAAATCACATTTCCACTTACAATTCTCATCTCTAGATGTTCCTCTACATGTCCAAAGGTCTAGAGGTTCAGTCAAAGATGGTCTGCAATGCTTGATTCTTTAAGTATAAGTACATTCCGTGTATTCCTGACTTCACTGTTGTTTTTCCCCAAAACTTCACTCATTCACTGCCTTTGATCTGTTTTTCAGGGGAGCGCTATTTACTCTCCTGGTCATTCTAATCAGCAAGCCTCAGGTCCCAAGGCCTTGTTCCGTGACTGACACCCAGGCGGTGGCTGACTCAACTTTGGCCGAAACATCTTTGGATGAGGAGGTGAGGCAAGAATTTGGGGGTAAGCTACCATATACAGGGACCCCAGCTGCTTCTCTTTGAAGGTGGATCACAACACTGTGGAATGTAGAGACGTGATTAATTCAAGAATAGGTGTTTTGGCATTAACCTCAAAACTTTGACACCTATCGTATCCATTGCAATACATCCATTTTATCTGTTTTAAGGTACATGTACTAAGGAAAATAATTAGCACTCTTTATCAATTAGATAAATCTGTCACTGTCTGTCTCTAAAATACAGATGTACAGGTAATCCATAGACGGGTACAGTGGGTGAAAAGTCACTGTCTTAGAGATTTTAGGGTTCGCGTTCAAGTTTAGTTTACAGGAATCTCCCTACAGATGAGCTGTGTAAACCCTCAGTGAGAGTTTCGTGTTTCTCTAAGGTTGTACTAAGACATTAGGAATATCAGACTACCTAGAAAGCTTCTGAGAGAATTAATCAACTTATGATTTGTTTGTTTTGAGCCAGGGCAACAGAATTGTTTTTAAAGGATGGAACATGATTTGATAGCTCTTAAGCATGCAATAAGAGTTATGGTTTAAGGCCGGGCATGTTGGCTCATGCCTATAATCCCAGCACTTTGGGAGGACGAGGTGAGAGGATTGCCTGAGCCCACAGGTTCGAGACCAGCCTGGGAACTTGGCAAGACCACGTCTCTACAATAAATCCAAAAAATTAGCCAGACGTGGTGGCGCATACCTGTAGTTCTAGCTCCTTGGAAGGCTGAGGCGGAAGGATTGCCAGAGCCCAGCAGGTCGACGCTGGGGTGGCCGTGAGTGTGCCACTGCACTCCAGCCCCTGCAACAGGAGTGAGACTCTGACTCAAAAAAAAAAAAAGAGGGTTTAGAAAACCCATGCACTCATTCACTCAGGAAATATTTGTTGCATGTCTATTATGAGCAAACAGTGTGAGAGACAGTGGGGTCAAACCAGTCAGCAAACAGAGGCAACCTCGACCTTCATTAATTTACAGTCTGCTGGGAGAGACAGACGTAAACCAGGTGTATCCATAACACACAATAACAGACTGTGTTAAGTGTCATTAATGCCACCGTCAATGGTGGGGTGAGGGTTGCGATGGAGCCAGGTCCCAGATGGGCAGAGCTGTCAGGAGGCGAGGCTTGGCGCAGTGGCTCCCTGCTTTGGGAGGCGAGGCGAGCGGATCGCTTGAAGGCAGGAGTTCAAGATGAGCCTGGGCAACAGAGCTAGACACCCTCTCTACAAAAAAAGGGGGAGGGGATTCTCTGGGCTGTTGTATCTCCCCCGCCCCTGGCCTACTTTTGGGGACATTATTAAGTGTGTAGCCTTTTTTTAAGAACCACTTTCTTGAGCATGACTGAACCAAAGGGAACGGGAAGACAGATGATGGAGTTATATTTTCAGTTAATCAAACATTCTTTTATAAGTGACTAAAGGAAACCAAGGGACATTATCATTTTTTGTCTCAGCCTATGATATTGTATTGATTTTTCTTGAAAATTCTAGTTACAGAGGCTTATTCTGGAATATACAGACACAGCTACAACCCTTTTATATGAGATTCTTCTTGTCTTTCAGCAGGTACAACTTTTTATTATATATGTTATATGGCTATGTATTATATGACTGATCTAGATGATGAGAGTCATGTATGATGTGATTATATGATTAATGATGCACCCAAAATGCTTGTCTTAGAGAAGTTCTAACAAACTGGATGCCTTTTTTCTTTTTTCTTTTTTGAGTTGGAGACTCACTCTGTCGCCCAGGCTGGTGGGCAGTAGCACGCTCACGGCCACTGCAGCCTTGACCTGCTAGGCTCCAGCGATCCTTCTGCCTCAGCCTTCCAAGTAGCTGGAACTACAGATGAGCGCTACCATGCCCAGCTCATTTTTTATTTACTGTAGAGACAAGGTCTTGCTGAGTTGTCTGGGCTGGTCTCGAACCCGTGAGCTCAGGCAATCCCCTCGCCTCGGCCTCCCTAAGTGCTGGGATGACAGGCTGAGCCACCAAGCCCGGCCCTGGCTGCTTTCAATGACGTTACCTTTGCTCTTAGGGCTCATCTAGCTAAGTTTCCAAAATACTGATTTTAGGGATTGAAAGGAGCAGGATAAAGATGTGCGTGAGAATGACAGAGCTTGAACTGCATGGCTCTCCCTGGCTTGTTTCCTTGGGTCATAGGGAAATCTTGGCTTGGGAGCCACCGAGTTTGCCGTCGGCTGGGTGATGTCCTTTCTACAAAGCTTTCCTCCCACAGTAAGTATCCAGAAGGAAAAACAAGATCACCCCCCCAGCCTCATAAAACACATGCGCTTGTGCCTACTTAATGCCACACACATTTTTTTCTTTGACGTAACCAGGTTTATCAACCAGAAGTACAATGTAAAGTTGATCGTTTTAATATGTAATTAGAATACAGTGTTTTTACATCTGGGACCTGGCTGTTTAAGGGACTGAAATGATATATATAGATTTATAAATCTATATATATTTTAAAATATATTTTTTGAGTTGTGTCGCCCAGGCTGGAGTGCTGTGGCACACTTGCAGCCACCGAAGCCTCGACCTGCTGGGCTCAGGGGATCCTTCCGCCTCAGCCTTCTGAGTAGTTGGAACTACAGGCACACTACACCACGCCCAGCTAATTTTTTTATTTATTGTAGAGAGGAGGTCTCGCCAAGTTGGCTGGGCTGGTCTCGAACCCGCAGGCTCAGGCAGTTCTCTTGCCCCCTCCCCAAAGTGCTGGGATGACAGGCTGAGCCACCGCACCCACCCTGACCAGGGGCTTTAGCGGGCCCTTTCAGGAAAGTGGCTGTCGCCTCTTTCACCTGATTTCTCTGAAGGTCAGACTCAACTCAGCCGGGGCTTGGTGACATGAAATGCTAGCGTGGGCAACTCTGTTTGGATTTCAAGTCTGGCCTGCTGGGCCCAGGTGCAAAGCTTGGTCCAAAACCACGGCCCTGTCGTGTGGACTTGACCCGGTGGCCTGTTGGCAGAAAACAGGCGAGGAGGGCGAGGGCGGGGCGAGGGCTCCGCCTTGGTTTCTAGCCAGGCCTTGCGCTGGATGGTGGCCTCTGCGCTGCCTGCAGCCCACGGCCACTGCGCTTCCCTGTCCAGGTGTCTTTTGTGGCTCGTGTCGTGGCACGCATGACCAGGGGGCTTTCGGGCCCGCGTCTGCCACTGAATCCCTGCCAGGCCGTGCTCCTGTACCAGCAGCTCTACGCGCTCAGAAGCTGCCTGCAGCACGGCGGGGCCCTGGCAGCCAGCATCAGGGACAACCACCGAGAGGAGTTCCGGTGAGAAAACACCCGAGTCGAGTCTGCGGGAAAACTCCCTCGCTTCCTCTGTTTGATTCGGGGTCTCACACCGTCACCCAGGCTGGAGGGCAGCGGCACCATCACAGCTCACTGTGGCCTTCACCTCCTGGGCTCCAGCGAGCCTCCCGCCTCAGCCTCCTGAGTAGCTCGGGCTACAGGCACATGCCATCACACCTGGCTAATTTTTTGTTTTTGTTAGAGATGTGGCCTGGCTATGTTGTCCAGGCTGGTCTTGAACTCCTGGGCTCAAGTGATCCTCCTGCCTCAGCCTCCGAAAGTGCTGGGACTACAGGCATACGCCATGACACTTGGCTAATTTTCAATTTTTTGTAAAGATGTGGCCTGGCTATGTTGCCCAGGCTGGTCTTGAAGTCCTCGGCTCAAGTGATCCTCCCGCTTCAGCCTCCCAAAATACTGGCATTCCAGGTGTGGGCCACCACGCCCAGCAACTTTACTCCCCTCTGATTTTTCATGCACACCTGCAACGTGGCCCCATTCTTAGAAGATTAGGTGATGACAGGCAGTTCCATTTTTGGTTTTAGTGTTTTGCTTTGGTCTGACATGAGGTGGGTTTGGGGCGCTGTGTGGAGTATGTTCCCAGGCCAGAAAGAAACTCAGGAATATCAGACTGTTTTGAGGAGTTTTTGGCTCACTGTCTTTGTTGCAGCCTGCATCTCACAGAAGTAGGAATGAGGCCAGGCGTGGTGGCGTAGGCCTGTAATACCAGCACTTTGAGGGCCGAGGTGGGAGGATCGCCCGAGCCAGGAGGTTGAGGCTGCAGTGAGCTGTGATTGTGCCACTGCACTCCAGCCTGGGGGACAGAGTGAGGCCCCAAGTGAAAAGAAAAAAAAAGACGATCTCACCTGCAGAGATTGTCTCCATTTTTCTGAGTGGCTCCAGGACTGTGATGGTGTTTTAAAAGCCCGCAGGTGGTTCCCATGAGCATCTGGGCTGAGAACCCTTCTTTAAGTCCTCCAAGGGTGGCTGAAGGCCTCCCCGCTCAGCTTGTCCCACTGAGGCCTGGGGAGGAGCCCCAGTCGCCTCTTGACTCAGCCCGGCGTCACCCTGTCACCCCAGCCCCCTGCTGTGCCTTGCCTGAGAAGCCGGGGTCAGGAGCCTCAGCCACCCCGTGGTGACAGTCCACCTGTCCGAGATCCGGGCGAAGCTGGAGCGGGCAGTGCCGGCCGGGTCTCGGGCTGAAACCCCCACCCCGCCTGACGCCCCGAAGGGACAGTGACAGCGCCAGGGCTGACATTGTTTCATTCCGCCCACGGGCTGCAGGTACTTCATCCACGGGGCGGCCCTGGGGGAAAGGCTCCCCCGCAGCTACCCCATCGCCCGGCCGACCACGCAGCTGCTCCTTGAGGTGGTGAGGCTGATGGAGCAGAGGCCACGTGGAAGGCGCTGACGGGGCCACGAGTCAGCTGGGCGTCGACATCCACGAGAGGCTTTGGATGCGCTTGCCGCCTGGTCGTCCCTGAGTGCCATCAGCAGAGCTTGTCTTGGAGTGGCCCGTTGACACCTAAGAGACGGTTGAGAGTGACTTACGACTTACCTGTCGCCAGGACCCCAAGTCTGCTCTAACATGCCGCAGGGGTGTTAAAAGGGGTCATTCTCCAGCGAAAAATAAAGACACTTCCCAAAGACCCAAACCCTGTGAAGGGATCAGAAGGCGATGGAGGGCATCTCACCGGATGGGGACGCGGGTCGCCGCTGTAGGTGGGGCCGCCAAAGAGGAGTGGTGGGGCACGTCCATGACAAAGGGGCCTTCAAGAAAGGAGGGTTGCAGGGTGCTCAGTCCAGTGACAGCAATCCTCATGGGAGGACAAGCAGGAGAGCACACGGATGAGGAGCTGGGACGTCCCTCTGTAGACACATGCTGCCACGCATCCAAGTTCCTGGGGACTCAGCCAGCAGCCCCTCTGAGCCTCCAGGACAGAGGCATTGTCCACGCACGGATATTTAAACGAAAAGCCTTCACGGGCCACATGGTGGCTCACACCTGTCATCCTGGCACTTTGGGAGGCCAAGGCAGGAGGATGACTTGAGCCCGGGATTTTGAGACCTTGTCTCTACAAAAAAATTTAGGCTGGGCTCGGTGGCTCAGCCTGTCATCCTAGCACTTTGGGACACTGAGGCAAGTGAATTGCCTGAGCCTGCAGGTTGGAGACCAGCTCAGGCAACTTGGCAAGGCCTCGTCTCTACAATAAATAAGTAAATAAATTAGCCGGGCGTGGTAGTGCGAGCCAGTTGTTCTGGCTACTTGGAAGGCTGAGGTGGAAGGATGGCTGGAGCCGAGCTGGTCAGTGCTGGGGTGGCTGCAAGTGTGCCACTGCACTCCAGCCTGGGTGACTGAGTGAGTCTCCAACTACAAATAAATACATAGATAAAAATTAAAAAATAAAAAATTAGCTGGGCATGGCGGTGCATGCCTTTAGTCCCAGCTACTCTGAAGGCTGAGGCAGGAGAATCACCTGAACCCAGGGGGTTGAGGCTGTGGTGAGCTGTGATTGTGCCACTGCACTCCAGCCTGGGCGACACGGTGAGACTCCACTTCTGAAAAAATTCAGATCTGTGTATTTTCTCTCTATTGGCAGCTACAACCACCAGAGGGCACAGTGGGACCAGGAAGAAGAAATAAAGGCAAAACTTCATTCTCACCGTGGAGTGTTTAGATTTGCTTGTTTATATTTACTTTTTTCAAGTTGGGGTCTCACTCTGTCGCCCAGCCTGGAGTGCAGTGGTGCGCTCACGGTTCACTGCAGCTCGACTTCCTGGGTTCAAGCATTTGTCCTGCCTCAGCCTCCCGAGTAGCTGGGGTTACAGGCACTCGCCACCATGCCCTAATTTTTTTTTTTGTAGAAATGAGGTCTCGTTATGTTGCCCAGGCTGGTCTCGAACTCCTGGGCTCAAGCAGTCCTCTCATCTCAGCCTTCCAAAGTGCTGGGATTATAGGTGTGAGCCACTGCACCTGGCCTACTGATTTTTTTTTTTACTGTGAAAAACATATAATGTGAGGTTTACCTTCATAACAAGACTTCTAGTGCACATTATTGTTACCTACAGGCCCACTGTTGTACAGCACAGCTCTAGAACTTTTCATGCTGCATTTCTCAAACCCTGTACCCGTTGGACCACAAGTCCCTGCAGCCACCATCCTTCTATGACCTTGACTGCTGTGGGTGCTTCAGCTAAGTGGCGTCATGCCAAGACTGGCTCGCCTCGCTTGGTGTAATGTCTTTGAAGTCCACATGGCTACGTGTCACAGGATGTCCTTCTTAAAAGCTGAGTCATCTTTGCTTGTGTGGGTATAGATCCTTTCTTTTTTTTTGAGTCAGTCTCACTCTGTCACCCAGGCTGGCGTGCAGTGGCATGCTCATGGCCACCCCAGTATGGACCTGCTGGACTCTGGCGATCCTTTTGCCCCAACCTTCCAAGTAGCCAAAACTACGGGTGCGCACTACCACACCTGGCTAATTTTTTATTTATTGTAGAGACGAGGTCTCCCCAAGTTGCCCGGGTGGGTCTCAAACCCGCAGGTTCAGGCAATCCACTTGTCTCGGTCTCCCAAAGTGCTGGGATTACAGGCTGAGCCACCGTGCCTGGCCTTTCTTTTGCCTTTAATTTTTCTTTTCTTTTTTTTTAAATTAGAGACAGGGTCTCACTCTGTCACCTAAGCTGGAGTGCTGTGGCACAGTCCTAGCTCACTGCAGCCTCCAATTGCTGGGCTCAGGTGATCCTCCTGCCTCAGCTTCCTGAGTAGCTGGGACTACAAGTGTACTCCACCACGCTTGGCTAATTATTTTTATTTTTGTAGAGACAGGGTCTCGCTATGTTGCCCAGGCTGGTCTCCAACTCCTGGGCTCAAGCGAGTCTCCTGTTTCAGCCTCCTGAAGTGCTGGGATGACAGGCTTGAGCCACCGCGCCTGGCCTAGAGACCCCATTTTTAATCCATCCATCTGCCAGTGGACATTCAGGTTTTCTCTGCCTTTTGGCTGTTGTAATGCAGCCATGGATGTGGGAATGCAAGGATCTTTCCGAGATCCTGGTTCTGATTCTTGTGGAGAAACACCCAGAAGTGGGATGGCCAGCCCATTCACGAGGTCCATGTGTAGTGCTCTGAGGAAGCTCCGTACTGTTTTCCACACGGCTACACCATCTTACACCACCAGCGGTGCACAGGGGTCGCGTGTCTCCACGCCATCAACACATGTTCTCTTGTCTTTTTGACAATGGCCGTCCTAACAGGGGTGAGAGGATGCTTCCTGTGGCCTAGATTTGCATTTTCCTGACAGTGACATGGAGCATCTTTTCATATGCCATTTGTATGACTCCTTTGGAGAGATGTCTGTGCAGGTCCCTTGCCCATTTTAGAATCAGGCTATTGGTATTTTTGCTCTTGAGTTATGGAAGGTCCTTATCAGAAACATGGTTTAAAGATATTTTCTCCTACTCTGTAGGTTACTTTTCACTCTGTTAATTCTTTATTTCTTTTCCTTTTTTTGAATTGAAGTCTCATTCTGTCACCCAGACTGCAGTGTAGTGGCATACTTACAGCCCCCGCAGCCTCGACCTGCTGGGCTCCAGTGATCCTTCCACCTTAGCCTCCCAAGTGGCTGGGACTACAGGTGCATGCCACCACGCCCACCTAATTTTTTTATTCTTTGCTATGTTGCCCTGGCTAATCTCAAACTCCTGGACTCAAGCATCCTCCGGCTTTGGCCTCCCAAAATGCTGGGGTTACAGACGGGAGCCACTGCTCCTGGCCTCACTCTGTTGATTCTTTTGCTGTCTGGAAGCTTCTGAGTTTGATGTTGTCTCACACATGTGTCTTTCCTTGTGTTGCTTTTTGTCATGGCAGCAAAACTTCTAAACTTTCTAAACTCCCGCAAACTTTCAAAATTAAATCATTTTTCACGGTCATGCTCCTTTACTGTGTTCCAGCCTAAGTCTAGTGCAAGAAGACTCTACAAAATCAACAAAATATATGATCTAGAGTGTATGGCATAAATGCCAATTGACGTCATGGTAATGCCTGATGCTTTGTTAAGACTCCGGCTCTCCCAGGAAGGTGAACGTGGAGGCAGCCACAGCGCCTCCGGCCCGCTCTCCGCTTCTGAACCACTGAGGTCTACTTCCAGGCTGGCATCTCTCGTCTTTCCCTTGGCTTGAACACTTCACTGCGTGACATCTACATGGTTCTCTTTGGCCAGGGATAACCCAAGTCCTCCCAATTGGTCCATGTCAACAGCACAAACACAGGCGCGCAAACCACATGCAGTTTATGGAAATGAAAACAAAACTTCTCATTATTCAATAAATGCCCCAGCTTTCAAGTTGGAGTCTAGGGATCCCACTGAGAGGCTCTGGTAACAGAAGGGGCTGCAAGTGCTTTAGGTAGGTGACCTGCCATGGCAGCTTGCTGTATGGACTCTGGTGACCTGCCATGGCAGCTTGCTGTGTAGACCTCAGTAACCTGCCACCATGGTTTGCTGGGTGGACCCTGTTGACCCACCACTGTGGTTTGCAGTGTGGACCCTGGTGACCTGCCACAGCGGCTTGCTGTGTGGACCCTGGTGACCTGCCATCATGGTTTGCTGTGTGGACCCCGGTGACCTGCCAGGGTGACTTGCTGTGTGGACCCTGGTGACCTGCCCCAGGGGTTTGCTGTGAGGCCCCAGATGACCTGCCACGGCGACCTGCTATATGGACCCTGGCTTGTGTCTTTTTTCCCAGCACCCCCTTTTGGTTCCCAAAGTGACCCTGTTTGGGTGCTGAAGCAAAAGGCTGGACACCCAGTTATGGCCAGCCCGGGCCAAAGTGTTAAGGTCAGTGTGACCCGGGCCTGAGCTGCCAGAGTCAGGAAGCCCCGCCGACCTCATTCCAGAAGTTTTGTAGGCTTCCTCAGGAAATGTGTCTGGTCGCATGCACGTGAAGCTTTGGGGCCAGCCTAAACCAGAGGCCTCTGGTGGGATCCCCTTTTGTGACTCGGAGGCCCAGCAGCTCCGTCTACTCCCCACCCCCAAACACCCCCTCCAGACACAGTGGGGACCTTGGGCATCAGCGGGCCTTGAGGCGCATCCGAGGCCAGCAGGAGCGGGCTTCCCAAAGGGTCTCAGGTACCTGGAGGGGCTGGGCGACGGGACCGGGTTCTGCAAGCGCAAGACCTCAGGGGGCCAGACTCGAGTCCCAAGCCCGTGGCCGACATGGCATGGCATGGCTGGGCGTGGCCGACGGAAAGATGGCACGAAGTCATGAAGCTCAAGGAGACGGGGAAGCCTTCTCGAGAAGCATGGGAAGTGTTTGGAGAGAAAGCACGTGCGTGCACACCTGTGTACACCAGACCAGGATGCATGTGTGCATGTGTGTACGTGTGTGTTCTGGACCAAGTGTGTGTGTGCGTGCGTGCATACTGGACCAGATCCAGGAACCTAGCGGTTCACAAACTGACATCTGCAAGGGGGGGTTGTTGGCCTGAGACCACCGAGAGCCCCTGGCAGCCTGAAGCGCCCACTCCTTTGGAGGATGACCATGGCCAACGTTAGTTCATACTCACGAAGCCCCACTGGGTGCCTGTCATGGTGGACGGGAAGGAGGAGGGGGAGATACCCCACTGTCCCTGGCAGTGGCTCTCGGGGATGTCTTGAGCGTCATCTGTCCCGAGGCTTAGGAGATTTCAGACACTGTTCAAGGGTCTCGCTGCCCAGAGAGAAACCCACCCAGGGAGCTTCTGTCCTGAGCTGCAGGATGTTTCTGGCATATACAAACAAGTTAAGCCGGGGCTCTGTGGTCAAGGGTTTACGTTCACATAAGCTCAGTTTGCTACATGAAGTCATTGGAGCATGACCTTAAACACTTTTGTCCTGTCATATCTGTGTAATTGAGCCAATATTTCTAAGTATCACTTAACAATTTCCCAGTGCCTCTATCTGCCTTAGGCTTGTCCTAAAAAATACCTGGGAAGCCACGGCTCTAATGCTCTAGATAGGTGTTTTTAAAGACTTGTGTGTGACCGGGCACGGTGGCTCAAGCCTGTAATCCCAGCTCTTTGGGAGTCTAAAGCAGGAGGGTCACGTGAGCCTAGGACTTCGAGACCAAGCTGGGCAACACAGTGAGACCTCATCTCTGCAGAAAAACTTTTACAAACGAGCCAGTCCCAGCCACTCGGAAGGCTGAGGCGGAAGCTCGCCCAAGCCCAGGAGGCTGAGGCTGTGGTGAGCCGGGATTGTGCCCCTGCAGTCCAGCCTGGGCGACAGAGTGAGTGAGACCTTAACTCAAAACAAGCAAGCAAGCAAGCAACAAACATTGAGCCACACAAAAACCCCACAACTGATGGCGGTCTTGAGGGCCAGAACCACAGCAACTGTGTATTCACAGAGTTCCACGGCTAGAGGCCTAGACATCTTTTGAGAAAATTAAGTCACACCACTTGTCTGCCCTGCAGCTTTCGTATGGGATCACTCCCCATCAGTGGGGTTGACTGAGTCCATGTGACGAGAAACGCCCTGTCCCCATCTCACAGGGCGCAGAAGCAGTTCTGAGGGAGAAGGCAACACACTGGCAACCAGTCACACCTCCAAGTTCCATCTCTTCCAGGAACTGGGTCAGACTCCCCTGCAGGTTGGGAAGGATTTAGCCCACCCCTTTGTGGAAAATGAGTCTTCTGCACCTGTCCTGCCTGAGGCCGGCCCTGCCCCGTGTGACCCCATGAGGATGACCACAGGGGGACGATCCTGTCCCAGGGGCCGACACACCAGACTGGCCACAGGCGGACTCAAGCGAGCGGAAGCCACTGCTGCAGAGTCCCCAGGACCCAGTCCCGCGTCTGCCGCCAGCCTGGAGCTTGCCGGGCTAGCAGTCTGTAAACTGGAGGCGGCACGCCAGGAGGGCCGTGCACACGAGGGAACCTGCATCTGAGGCGGCCAACGTGGGCGCGCTGGCGGGAGGGACGTGGCTGAAAGGCAGCGCGATTCTGCGACTGGCAACGAAAAGGCGAGAGCCACAGGGAAGGCAGCCCGACGAGGAACTCCTTGTCCTCAGGGTTTTAACTTGGGCCCGGCTCGGTTCACTTCGGAACCCACTGCCAAACTTGCCACTGCAAGTCCCTGCACAGAGCTCGGGGCTCCGCCTGTCCTCACGAACGGGTCTGGATCATTCTCCTGTTCCACTCACCACTCACACCAGCCCTCTGGTGATACAGGGTCTCGGGGTACCTGGTCCCTGTCCGTCCACCTCTCACCCTGAAGTCCACGTGGAACCAGCCCAGTCAGGAATGTGGCCTAGTTTTGATTCCCCTGGACAAGTGTGGGAGCCACTTAACAAGATCACATTCTGGCTGGGAATGGTGGTGCATGCCTGTAATCCTGGCACTTTGGGAGGCCGAGGCGGGACAACTGCTTGAGCCCAGGAGTTTGAGACCAGTATGGGCAACATAGTGAGACCTCGTCTCTGCAAAAAATTTAAAAAATGAGTTGAGCATGGTGGCATACACCTGTAGTCTCAGCTACTCAGGAGGCTGAGACAGGAGGATTGCATGAATGCAGCCCAGGAGGTTGAGGCTATGTTGAGCCAGGATTTCGCCACTACACTCCAGCCTGGGCAACATAGTGAAACCCCGACTCAAACAACCACAAAAAAAGTCCAATATCTGAGCCTGGAACACAGTGAAACCCCTTCTCTAAAAAAGAAGGACAAGAAAGAAAACTGGATATAGTAGTGCACGCCTGTAATAACAGCTACTTGGGAGGCTGAGGCAGGAAGCGCGCTCGAACCTAGGCATTTGAAGTTACAGTGAGCTATGATTGCGCCACTGCACTCCTGCCTGGGCAACACAGCGAGGCCCTGCCTCAAAAAATGACTGCATAGAAATCAGATCCAATCAGACTTCTGGGTGACTGTCTCTAGCTTGGAAAGGAAGACACAGCACAATGCCGCTCTGGTCACCCCGTCATAGCCTCCATGTCCGTGTGCCTGGCATATTCCTGGCGCTGCGAGTGCCATGGGGCAGGGAGCGGGGGCCCTCAGTCCCGGGATAGAAGCAGCACAGGTGGATGCCGGAGAAGAAAGAAGCAGGGGAAGGCGGGAGGCAGAGAGCACATGGCTGCCCTGCCCCCACCCCACGCTGTGCTGAAAGGCATCGCGGCCAGCTACCATGGCGGCAGTCACAAAGGAAGGCGCAGGCGAGCACGGGAGCAGGTTACAGCTTCTGGTTTCCAAATACTTTTCATCCATTTTTCGGTTCTTTGAGTCAAGATCTCACTCTCTAGCCCACACTGCAGTGCACCGCAGCCTCGACCTCCTAGGCTCAGGCGATTCTTCCGCCTCAGCCTCCTGAGGAGCTAGGATTACAGGTGCACGTCGCCACAGCCAGGTAATTTTTACATTTTTTTTTTTGGAGACCAGGTCTCACTATGCTGTCCAGGCTGGTCTCGACCTTGGGCTCAAGCCATTCTCCTGCCTTGGCCTCCCAAAGCTAGGATTGATTGCAGGCGTGAACCACCACGGTCTTGTTTTTTTGTTAAGCATGTCGTGTTTTCCCCGTCAGAGGAAGGATTCTTCATGCCAGTGTCCAGTCACCTCTGTGGCTTCTCTGTCTTCAAGTCCTTAAAGAAAACCGGAGCAAGAGTGCATGGACCTGTCTACCTGGATGCAGAGCCCTGGGGGTTTCCTGCAGCTCAGGACTCAGGCCTCAGCCCTTCAGGTGTGGTCTGGAGGAGCCCTGCAGTGCTGTGGGCGTCCCTGGCTGGCTCCTCGCAGAAAACTCCCTGAGACTAGTGCGGCTACCTCAGGCCAAGAGCCCCCACCGGCACCAGGCACATTTCACAAAAGAACCGCCCTTCCCCCACCCCGTGACTACAGAAAAAAGGGCCAAAACTCCCCGTGCTAACTTCTCTGTGGCAGCCCACATTATACCGGAATGCCACCCCCCGGGAATGTCCCATATGACAACAAGGACAGCGTTTTGCAGGTGGGGACCGCCCCCAGCCGTCTCCGTCTCCATCTCTCTCTCTCCACACACGCCCTTCGAAGGGCTGGCAAGCCCTGGCCCGGGCGCCATGGGAGGAAGCCATCAGACAAACCGAGGTCCTCCGGGAGCCTGGAACTCTGAGGGAAGTCTCACCACATGGAAGGGTAAACAGAGCGGATGAGGTCCCAAGGCGCTGGCATTTCAGAACAGGAAGGACCGTGAAGATTGTAAGGCTCCATCTCTGTTCTGCAGGAGAGGGCGGCAGCTGGAAGGTCAGTTGTCGATCCGAGTCACAGAGTGAATAAGCCAGGAACAGGTCCTGGGTGCCACTAGCTCCAGCTACCTTGCTGCATGGAGCCACCATTAAGCATCCATCCCCGGTGGGGCATAGGTGACTGGCGATGACACATGTAAATGGCCCAGCCATCCGCTGTCATCATGGTCGCGTCATCACCGTCAGCACGGAGAGCGCAGACGTGGTATGAGCTGACCGAGGTGCCAGCCTCAGGTCTGTCACTTACTGTGAAACTGTAGGCGAGTGACTTACCTTCCCTAGGTCTCAGTTTCTTCATCCGTAAAATGGGAATAAAAACAATATCTCCTTAACAGGATAGTAGCGAGGAATAAAGGAGAGAATGTCCGTGACATGTTTCATGCCTCACCTAGCACGCTGACTTGTCTGACATCAGCTGTTCCATGGGTTCCTTAACCTGTGTAGGCCTACAGGGATCGGACAGGCACACACATGGGGCGGTGGGCAGTGGGACTTCCCTTCGCCCGGCCAGATAGGATGCCAGTCAGTCAACAGCATTTACTGAGCTTTTACGTATACGGATATCAGCACTCAGTCGTGTGGAATAAAGAAAACAGGAGAAGCCGGGCTCGGTGGCTCAGCCTGTAATCCCGCGCCTTGGGAGGCTGAGGTGAGTGGATTGCCTGAGCCCGCGGGTTTGAGACCCGCCTGGGCAACTTGGCAAGACCTCATCTCTACAATAAATCAAAAAATTAGCCGGGTGTGGTAGCGTGCGCCTATAATTCTGGCTACTCAGAAGGCTGAGGCGGAAGGATCGCCGGAGCCCAGCAGGTCGAGGCTGCGGTGGCCAGGAGCAGCCACAGTCTGGGCGACAGAGTGAGACTCCAACTCAAAAAAAAAAAAAAGAAAGAAAGAAAACAGGAGAAGAGGTGCTATTGGAGGCCAAGTGCAGTGGCTCACGCCTGTCATCCCAGCACTTTGGGAGGCTGAGGTGGGGGATCGCCTGAGCCCAGGAGTTTTAGTGCAGCCTGGGCAACATAACCACACCTCTTCTCTACAAATAATAATAATAAACCCAGCCAGGAGGCTGAGGCAGGAGGACCACTGAGTCCAGGAAGTCAAGGCTGTGGTGACAACCTGGGCGACAGAGTGAGAGCCTGACTCAGGGAAAAGCAAAACAACAACAACAACAACAGCAAGTCCGTTAGGCCACGAGTGACACACACAGCGCCGCGCCAGGGTTGGGAGCTGAGGACACGCACAGTGGTCGTCCAACCCAGCAAGGGTGGAGGCGGGGGAGGGACCCCAGGAGGGCTTCTCAAACGGCAGGTGGGGAGTCGGTGGGCGAGAGGCGCAGAGCAGAGCCTAACGCCGCGCGCCAGCTGTGGCGGGTGTCCCCTGGCTCGGGCTCCCGGCCTCCATCCCGGCCTCCCCGTGTGCCTTCTCACGCCGCAGAGACCAAAAAGGAAAAAGCCGCATCTCACTCCTCTGCCTGCAGGTCGCGTTCCCTGGCTGCCAGGCGGTGCGCTTGGGGCTGGAGCTTCTGCTGCCCACTCGGCCGTGGCCGGACATGTTGGCGCTCCTGTGGCACTATCGTGTGCTGCTGCGGGTGTCGGCAGGTGGCCTCCTGAGCCACTTGTATGGCCTTGACCTCAGCGGCCCATGGAGCCCCCACCCCTGCCTTTCTGGCTCTTGCAGGGCAGCGGTGGCCTCCCCGGCCCTGGGTCCCAGCTACACTGGCCTTGATCTCAGGGGCCCACGGAAGCCCTGACCCCCTGCCTTTCTGGCTCTTGCAGGGCCAGTGGGGGCCTCTCGAACCCTGGGTCCCAGCTACACTGGTGTGGCCTTCTTACCTCAGCGGCCCATGGAGCCCCGACCCCCTGCCTTTCTGGCTCCTGCAAGGGCAGCAGTCCTCCCAGTAGACCATCCAGCAGCCATATCCTAGGGACCCCCCGGGCCTTTCCAGTGACTTTGTAAGCTCCCGATGAAACTGTTCCTGCAGGGGTAACAAGAATTGCATGCGGATTCTGGACAGAAATATGGTTACACTCAAGCAGGAACCAGGCTGCGCTTTGGCCTACTTCGTGCTTGCTAAAGGTCACGTGGCACCAGACACTGATCATCTGCAGCCCCACTGTCCCTATGGACAGGATTTCTGCCAATCTCCAAAGTAGCTGGGACTACAGGTGTGTGCCACCACACCTGAATAATTTGTTTTTATTTTTATTTTTGTAGAGACAAGGTCTCGCTGTACTGCCCAGGCTGGTCATGAACTCCTGGGCTCAAGCAGTCTTCTTGCCTCGGCCTCAAAAAGTGCTGGGATTACAGGTATGAGCCATCGCACCCAGCCAGTGGTCTCTTAACAGGAAGAAATGCTCGCTAGTTTTGTTGACACTGCAAAAGATAAGGGCAGTAGCCAGGTGGGTGGCTCACGCCTGTAGTCTTAGTGCTTTGGGAGGCCGAAGGGAGAGGACTGATTGAACCCAGGAGGTTGGGGCTGCAGTGAGCTGTGATCATGCCACTGTACTTTAGCCTGGATGACAGAATGAGACTTCAAAAAAAAAAAAAAAAAACTGGGTGCCATCAGTGAAGTCTTTTGTTTTTTCTTTTGTTTTTTGAGTTGGAGTCTTACTCACATGCCCAGGCTAGAGTGCAGTGGCACACTCACAGCCACCCCAGAGTTGATCTGCTGGGCTCCGGCAATCATTCCACTTCAGTCTTCCAAGTAGCCAGAACTACAGGCGCGCGCTATCACACCCAGCTAATTTTTAATTTATTGTAGAAATGAGGTCTTGCCAAGTTGCCTGGGCCGGTCTCGAACCCGCGGGCTCAGGCAGTCCATTTGCCTGGACCTGTCAGAGTGCTGGGATTATAGACTGAGCCACTGAGCCCGGCCAGTGAAGTCTTTTGAAAGGTTTCTGTTTAACCCTTAGGGAAAAAAGTCTAATGGCAGTGAGTCAGCATTGAGGTGTAGCAAGGCGTGTCTGACCCTGTGCCCCTGCCCCCAGCCCATCATGACCCAGAACTTTTCTATGGTCCCCTTGGCCAGAAGGTCCATTCAGTCAGATGAAAGGTTGAAGATATTATTTTTCGTTCTCTTCTTCTTTTTAATCCTTAAAAATATACAAAAGCCATTCTCAAACCTGCAAGCCAGATTTCACCCACAAACCATAGTTGCTGACCCTTGGTAGAGTATTGAGCACGAGGAGATGTCAAACAATGAAAATACTGAAAGAAAAGTCTCCTCATGTTTCAAACACTGATGATGTGGGTAACAACGGAGCCATACTGGGATGCACACCAGCAAGTCCTGGGCCGGGACGCCTCGCTGATAGAAGCTACAGGACTCAGGTGCAGAGGAGGCCACCCCTTGCCCCCCAGCTGTGATGCCCAGGCCATTCAAACACATTTTAAAGAACTTTTTAAATTATGGGAAAAGACCCACGTGTGGCTGGGTGCAGCGGCTCACACCTGTCATCCCAGCACTTTGGGAGGCCGAGGTGGGAGGATCGATTGAGCCCAGAAGTTTGAGACCAGCCTGGGCAATGTAGCGAGACCTCGTCTCTACCACAAATTAAAAAATTAGCTGGGCATATTGGCACATGCCTGTAGTTCCAGCTACTTGGGAGGCTGAGGTGGGAGGATCACCTGAGACTAAGAGGTTGAGTCTGCGGTGAGCTGTGATTGTGCCACTGCACTCCAGCCTGGGCAAGAGTGAGACCCCAATTCAAAAAAATAAAAAAACCAATCGATTGCGCAGCTCAGTGGTGTTTGGCATAGTCATACTCTTGTGCAACAGAGCTCCAGAACTTTTTCATCTTGTAAAACTGAACCTCTCGACTCATTAAGCAGCCCCCCATTTCCCTTCCTCCAGCCCTGGAAACACCATTCACCTCTGTTTCTACTGACTTCACTACTCTAGATGCGCACATACGTAGTAGAGTATCTGCCTTTGGGTGACTGGCTTATTTCGCTTAGCACAATATCTTCACGGTTCACACGTGTTGCAGCACGTTACAGTACTTCCTCCTTTTGAAGGCTGAGTCATGTCCCACTGTTTGCATTCGAGACTTCTTCATGCCTTCCTTCCCTGATGGACTTTGGGTTGCTCCCACGCTCGACTGTTGTGAACAGTGCTGCTGTGGACACGGTGCACGGATCTCTCTACGAAATCCTGCTCACATTTCTCTTAGATCTGTACCCAGACGCGGACTTGCTGGTAGCTCTAGCCTTAATTTTTTGGAGGAACCTCTTATCGTTTTCCAGCGGCTGCACCCTTTCACATCCCCACCAACCTGTGTACAGAGGTTCCAGTTTCTCCACATCCAAGCCAACCCCTGTTACTTTGTTTTTTTGTTTTGTTTTTTGACCGTAGCTAGCTGAGTAGGTGGGAGGTGATGCCTTGCTGTCGTTTAGCTCTGCATTTCCCTAATGATTAGCAATGGTGAGCATCTTTTTTTATTTTAATTTTTTTATTTTAAAGATGTGGCCTACAATTTGGTGAGCATCTTTTCATATGCTCACGTGTCGATCTTCTCCTGAGGCCACGTCTATTCACATCCTTTGCTCATTTTTAAATCAGGCGCTGTTGTTGTTGAGTTTCAGGAGCTCTTGATATATTCTGGATCCTAAGCTCTTAGCAGACATAATTTGCAGCTATCTCCTCCCATTCCATAAGTCACTTGTTCACTCTGCTGACGGTGTCAGCCATCAGCAGAGTTTCCATCTCTGCCCATGAACTAGAGTCTAGTTGGGGGCAATTGCTGGAAGTCTGGTCAGGTCTAGAGCCGTCTTCTGTCCTAACGACACTAGTGGCCAAGAGCCAGAGACACCTCTGTCCTGGGCACCTCGGATCTGGATACCCCGACCCTCCACTGTGTCCGAAAGGGTTCCCGCATCTTTGCTTCGGGCCAGCACTGGCCAGCCTGAAGCTTCTGGGTGGCAGAGTCAGCAGCAGCCCCAAGACTGGGTCGGTGGGGGCTCGGAGGTGGGCTCACCAGACGCAGGTTTTGCACGGCCAAGTGTCTCCACAGAAAGCCGACATCAAACACAATCTCAGTATTTACTTTTCAGCTCAACATTGTTCCTTTTTATTCCAAATGGTAGTTCAGTTCAGATTCTTTGATACTCCATGTTTATTCTGAGGAAACAAAATATCCCAACCCTGGAGACCTTATGATTACCAGGTAAACACATGGAGGGTTAGGTCAGTGCCTGGTCTAGAATGCAACCCAGTTCTCACAGTACTTGCTGCAAAACCCCTGCTGATTCTTTTTTTTTTTTTTTTTTTTTAGTCAGAGTCTCACTCCATTGCCCAGGCTGAAGTGCAGTGGCACGCTCCCGGCCACCACAGCCTCGACCTGCTGGGCTCCGGCGATCCTTCCACCTCAAGCCTTCCAAGTAGCCAGAACTACAGGCATGCGCCATCATGCCCAGCTAATTTTTTGATTTATTGTAGAGACGCAGGCTCACCAAGTTGCCCAGGCTGGTCTCAAACCCATGGGCTCAGACAATCCTCTCACCTCGGCCTCCCAAAGTGCTGGGGTTACAGACACGAACCACTGAGCCTGGCCACCCCTGCTGATTCTACACAAGTAGACAGGACTCTATGGAACAGGGCACTTGCTAAAATACACTATTGGAAGAGCCATGGTTCTGATTTTTAAATGATGTGTTCCCTCTTCCAGCCATCACGGCCTTTTGGAAGGACACAATTGGAGAAGCTGAATAGGTTGGCTTGTCAATACTGAAGACATATATATTTTTAAGTGTGAAAAAAATGTATGCAAAAGAATTTCCTGCTTCCCCGTCAAGACTTACTCCCATTGAGATTTGGCACATGTGATAAAATTATTTATCCAAGACGCCTTACGGTAGCAGCACATTCTAGGAAGCCTTATGGGCATTCTTCATGGGTCCCCAAAAGAAAAAAAAAAAACAGGAGGGAGGGTGAAGGACAGAGCTCCATAAGGCCAAGCAGAAAAAAAAGGTGCACCCTTAGGATCCTAATTCCCCCTCCCTGACTCTTATGGAAAGTTGCTGCGGGTCAAGGACTTAGAGACCATGATGTTCACCACTGCACAGTTTGAGTCATGAATGTCGGGAAGAGTGACATTTAAGCCGCCAAATATTGTGCGTTAAAACAACTTATTTTACTATCATATCAAGAAATCCTAGCCGGGCGCCGTGGCTCAGGCCTGAAGTCCCAAAACTTTGGGAGGCCGAGGCTGGAGGATCACCTGAGCCCAGGAGGTGGAGGCTGTGTGGAGCTGAAATCATGCCACTGTACTCCAGCCTGGGCGACAGAGTGAGACCCTAACTCCAAAACAAAAAAAAGCGAAATAAAGAAACCCTGAGACAGGCGGTCGCTGGCATTGATTTAAACATTCAAGGTCCTGTCAAGGCCGAGCCTCTAGTTCTCTTGGTTTTTCCCTCCTGGATGGAAGATGGGTACACCAGCGCCAAGCATCTCTTTCCTCACCCAGTGAAAGGAACAGGCCAGAGACAAGGCCAGTGTTGGCCACCCTGTCTCATCCAGAAGGCATGATGTTTCCCGGAACACCCCCCCCCCCCCGCCCCCAGTCCTCAGGAACCTTTAGCTTACCTCTCAATGCCTGGGACCTGTGAGGGCGGCTGGAAAACGAATGTCCCCAGACTGCAGTGCAGCCTGTGAGGCGGAGGCTGGAAGGGTGTTTGCTCACTGTTGGGATCTGCCACGTGAAAATCAGGGAAGACCGAGAGATCAACAGCACAGGTCTGGCTGAGCGTGATGGCGACAGGAATCCCAGGTGGCTGCTAAAACTTCTGTTCTGCTGGGTGCCATGGCTCAGGCCCATAATCCCAGTAATTGGGAGTCTGGGTTGGGAGGACTGCTTGAGGCCTGGAATTTGAAACCAGCCTAGACAATATAGTGAGATCTTGTCTCTACAGAAAAAAAAAAAAAAAATTAGCTGGGCTTGGTGGTGAGCATCTGTAGTCTCAGCTACTAAGGAGGCTGGCTGAGGTGGAAGATCGCCTGAGTCCAGGAGGTCAAGGCTGTGGTGAGCCATGATTGTGCTGTTGCACTCCAGCCTAACTCAAATAAACACATAAAGAAATATCCTAAAAAGTTGCAGAAAAATACTTAGTTACAAAAGATACATAGTTACATGCTAAGTTATTCATAAAACATCAACTACAAAATTAACTTACAAAGCACATTTTCTGCAGTGAAATAAATCTAGATTTATCTATCTATGTATCTATCTATTTATTTATGAGTCAGTGTCTCACTCTGTCACCCAGGCTGGAGTGCAGTGGCACACTCACGGACACCGCAGCCTCGACTTCCTGGCCTCAGGTGATCCTTTTGCCTCACCTTCCAAGTAGTTCATGCAACCATGCCTGGCTAATTTTTTGACTTATTGTGGATGCAAAATCTTGCCAAGTTGCCCAGGCTGCTCTTGAACCCCTGGACTCAGGCAATCCTCTTGCCTCGGCCTCCCAAAGTGCTGGCACTACAGGCACAAGCCACCACGTGTGGACTATTTCATTTTTTTGAGTCGCGATCTCGCTCTGTCGCCCAAGCTGGAATGCAGTGGCACGATCACGGCTCACCACAGCCTTGACTTCTTGGACTCAAGCAATTCTCCTGCCTCAGCCTCCCAAGTAGCTGGGACTACAAGCATGTGCCACCATGCCTGGTTAATGTTTTGATTTTTTTGTGGCGATGGGGTCTTGCTATGTTGCCCAGACTGGTCAAACAAGTAGGCTCAAGTGATCCTCCTGCCCTGGCCTCCTAAAGTGTTGAGATTATAAAAATAAATTTTTATTTCTTCCAAATTTTTCACAATGAACCTGGCAGTGCCCTGAGGATTACATGGCTCAATTCATGTAAAGCTCTTAGCACGACTTCTAGAATTGAGAAAGTGCTCAACAAACGTGTCAATGGTTATTTTGTATTTAGAAATAAGTCGCTGGGGGCGGTGGCTCACACCTGTCATCCCAGCACTTTGGGAGGCCGAGGTGAGAGGATTGCCTGAGCCTACGGGTTTGAGACCAGCCTGGGCAACTTGATGAAACCGCTTCTCTACAATAAATCAAAAAATTAGCCGGGCGTGGTGGTGTGTGCCTGCAATTCCAGCTACTTGGAAGGCTGAGGCAGCAGGACCACCTGAGTCCAGCAGATGGAGGCTGTGGTGGCTATGAGCATCCCACTGCACTCCAGCCTGTGTGACAGAGTGAGAGTCCAACTCAAATAAATAAGTAAATAAATCTGTATGTATATGTACCCACACAGATTGCTTTCCAAATACAAAATAATCAATGGTTAATGTATTTATTGAGTACTTAATGTATATATGTATATAATTCAAAAAGAAATCATAAATGTAGACATTGCCAAAAAGAATGAAAGCGTGAAAAGGCATTTAAGGTAATAACACACGGCCCTCACTGCTCACGATGGTGCATCTGACTGTGAGGTCTTCCCATGACATGGCTTCTTCCCAGCGCTGGCCCATAGGGTGTCTGTGGTGACGAGAATGACCCTACCCGGGCTGTCCAACACAGAGCCACTGGCCACAGTGACGACCGAGCATTTGAAACGTGACTGGCACAACCAAGGAAGTCTGTCTGACATTCGATTTCGGCATTAATTCCTTTAAAATGTCAACAGCCCCAGGTTGCCAGTGGCTGCCCCACTGTGCAGTGCAGCTTGAGACCGGTGCTGGGCAATGGTCATTTAGAGAACACACCAAGATGCTCTTTCTTTCTTTTTCTTTTCACATTTATTTTGTTACAGAGATGTCTTTCTTGGTGCTTGGATTCATTTCTTACTCCACAACTCAGTGTAACTTCCAAATCTTGGTTTCGGCTCTCATTGTAGCTAGATATGCAGAAACACAAAACGGGAAGAGCTAATCAGGCATGGAGTATGTGCGTGCATGTGAGTGTGTGCGTGTTGTCAGACAGACAGTAATGTATTTTGCATACAAGAGGAAAAGAAATTCAGTAAAAGAAGTTACAGAGCTATAGACGGCATTGCTAACTGTGTGGTATTTTTAGCAAATAATCTGAAAAAGAAAGAGAGAAAAAGGCTATTCCATACCAAATGTCAGCTTCCTCTTGGGTGAGCAAAGACAACTCTTCCCTGGAATCCCACCTTGCCTGACCTGGGGATGCAGGAGACACCTGCAGGAGCGAGTGGCTCCGGCTGGGTGACAGTGGGTGTCACCTACTCTCCAAGAGGAGGTGTGGGGGGGACAATTCCCAGAGGCCAAGCTGATGGAGGAGTGACAAGGCTTGGCTGCATCAGCCTGGTCAGTCACGGCTGCGAGCACTTGGGCAGGTGGCTGACTGACTTCTCCATAATCGGACGGTTCTGAGCATACCGGCCTCACAGGGAGATGGTGAGACAGAGTGCACCTGGTGAACAGGAAGTGCTACATCAGTGGCAGTTTTACTACTGTTAGTATTATGTCCAGAAAATGGATCAGGAAAGGGCAAGTAAGCCCAAATAACACAAACCTGAGGTAGTAATTAACTAGCATCGTCATTATAAGATTATTTTTGGCATATGTTGCTTTGTGTATAGAGACCACAACTAAAGTTTAGTCCAGGCCAGGTGTCATGGCTCACGCCTGTAATCCCAACACTTTGGGAGGCCAAACAGGGAAGATCACTTGAGGCCAGGAGCTCGAGACCACCCTGGGCAACACTGTAAGTCCCTGTCTCTACAAAAAATTAACAAAAACAATTAGCTGGGCATAGTGGCACACACCTATAGTTCTAGCTACTCAGGAGGCTGAGGCAGGAGGCTTGTTTGAGCCTGTAAGTTTGAGGTTACAGTGAACTGTGATCATGCCACTGAACTCCAGCCTGGGTGACAGAGACCCCATCTCTTAAAAAAATGTCGATTTTTTATTGTGTGGATGAAAGAATGAATGCCTTGCCCTGTTCTTAACGTCCTCTTGCTGCCAGAAGGGGTTGTTATGACGAAGATGGCTT